TTTGTATCCAGGTATCCGGACCATTTTGGGCATTTTGGGTGTGTGATTTGTGGCAAAGTGATATGCATTTGATCATCCCCTTGTTGCAAACCTCACGCCAAAGATGATACCGACAAGAACATCGATAATCTGGAATAACGATCATGTGAACTGAAAGAGAACTGTAAAGAACTGAGCTGAGGAGGAACGAAGCAGAACTTACAGCTGAAACTAGCCCTGATCTAAAGCAAGAACGTTTTTCTTTTCCAATATCCAGGCATAAACAATCTGCAGGAGGTGTGGGATGTGGGCGAGGGCGAGTGCAATGTGCTGCTAGAGTCGCGTTTTGAGAAGCTGTACGAGAAGATTGACTTGACTCTGCTTAACCGTCTGCTGCGCCTGATCGTGGACCATAATATTGCCGATTATATGACTGCGAAGAACAATGTAGTGATCAACTACAAGGACATGAACCACACCAACAGCTATGGCATCATTCGCGGTCTGCAGTTCTCTTCGTTCATAACGCAATACTATGGCTTGGTTCTAGACCTCCTGGTGCTGGGCCTGCATAGATCCAGCGAGATGGCCGGACCCCCGCAAATGCCGAATGATTTTCTCACCTTTCAGGACGCAGTTACGGAGACGGCTCATCCCATTCGACTGTACTGTCGCTACGTCGATCGCATTCACTTGTTTTTCAGATTCTCGGCGGAGGAGGCTCGCGATCTCATCCAGCGCTATCTCACGGAGCATCCTGATCCGAACAATGAAAACATTGTCGGCTACAACAATAAGAAATGCTGGCCCCGCGATGCTCGTATGCGTTTGATGAAACACGACGTCAATCTGTTAGTTTTCCAAGTTACAAAAATAATTTTAGAGAAGGTAGTCTCTTATGTAGTTTCTTATGTATTTGCAGAGGTCGCGCCGTCTTCTGGGACATTAAGAACCGCTTGCCACGCTCTGTGACCACCATTGGTTGGGAGAGCACCTTTGTTTCGGTCTATTCCAAAGACAATCCGAACCTGCTATTCAACATGAGCGGCTTTGAGTGTCGAATTTTGCCAAAGGTTCCTATCCTTCCCCCATATCCTTAATCCAGGTTTAGCTAATAATTAAATTGACTTCCCTTCACACAGTGTCGCACACAAAACGAGGAATTCACACATCGTGATGGCGTGTGGAATTTGCAGAACGAAATAACCAAGGAGCGCACAGCTCAATGCTTCTTGCGTGTGGACGACGAATCGCTGGGACGCTTCCACAATCGTGTGCGCCAGATCTTGATGGCCTCCGGCTCCACCACCTTCACAAAGGTAATTATCATAGACTAGGTCGGAGTCTCCGTTTTGTACGGTTTGAACGGGTTTTCTTCCTCTGCAGATTGTGAACAAATGGAACACGGCACTCATTGGACTGATGACGTACTTCCGCGAGGCTGTGGTCAACACCCAAGAGCTACTGGATCTACTGGTCAAATGTGAGAACAAGATTCAGACGCGCATTAAGATTGGCCTCAACTCGAAAATGCCCTCGCGCTTTCCGCCCGTGGTGTTCTACACCCCAAAGGAGCTGGGTGGTCTCGGCATGTTGAGCATGGGCCACGTTCTCATTCCCCAATCCGATCTGCGCTGGTCCAAGCAGACTGATGTGGGAATAACCCATTTCCGATCTGGTAGGTTCAACTTGAATATGTCCAAATGATGATTGATTGATAATAACTGGACCTTTTATTTGCAATTGAAGGCATGTCCCACGACGAGGATCAGCTTATTCCGAATCTGTATCGCTATATTCAGCCGTGGGAGAGTGAATTCATTGATTCGCAGCGCGTCTGGGCCGAGTATGCGCTGAAGCGTCAGGAGGCAAATGCTCAGAACCGTCGTCTCACATTGGAGGACCTCGAGGACAGCTGGGATCGCGGTATTCCGCGGATCAACACGCTTTTCCAGAAGGACCGCCACACTCTGGCCTATGACAAGGGCTGGCGTATACGCACCGAGTTCAAGCAGTATCAGGTTCTGAAGCAAAACCCCTTCTGGTGGACCCATCAGCGCCACGACGGAAAGTTGTGGAATCTGAACAACTACCGGACGGATATGATCCAGGCACTGGGCGGAGTGGAGGGAATTCTCGAGCACACACTGTTCAAGGGCACCTACTTCCCCACGTGGGAGGGTCTGTTCTGGGAGAAGGCCTCTGGCTTCGAGGAGTCCATGAAGTACAAGAAACTGACCAATGCACAGCGCTCTGGTCTGAATCAGATACCGAATCGTCGCTTTACACTCTGGTGGTCGCCGACAATCAACCGCGCCAATGTGTATGTGGGCTTCCAGGTGCAGTTGGATTTGACTGGCATATTCATGCATGGCAAAATACCGACGCTTAAGATATCGCTGATCCAGATATTCCGTGCCCACTTGTGGCAGAAGATACACGAGTCGATTGTGATGGACTTGTGTCAGGTGTTTGATCAGGAACTGGACGCTCTTGAAATCGAAACGGTGCAGAAGGAGACGATCCATCCGCGTAAGTCCTACAAGATGAACTCGTCCTGTGCCGACATACTACTCTTTCCCGCCTACAAGTGGAACGTGTCACGACCCTCTCTGCTGGCCGACACCAAGGACACCATGGACAACACGACCACCCAGAAGTATTGGTTAGACATTCAGCTGCGCTGGGGAGACTATGATTCGCACGACGTGGAGCGCTACGCGAGGGCCAAGTTCCTTGATTACACCACAGACAACATGTCCATTTATCCCTCGCCCACGGGCATCCTGATTGCCATCGATCTGGCCTACAATCTGCACTCGGCATACGGGAATTGGTTCCCTGGCTGCAAGACCCTTATCCAGCAGGCCATGGCCAAGATCATGAAGGCCAATCCAGCCCTCTATGTCCTGCGTGAGCGCATCCGCAAGGCTCTGCAGCTTTACTCGTCTGAGCCAACGGAACCCTATTTGAGCTCACAGAACTATGGTGAACTGTTCTCCAATCAGATCATCTGGTTTGTCGACGACACCAACGTGTATCGCGTCACCATCCACAAGACATTCGAGGGCAATCTGACAACGAAGCCGATAAACGGGGCCATCTTCATATTCAATCCCCGGACGGGCCAGCTTTTCCTAAAGATTATCCACACTTCGGTATGGGCGGGGCAGAAGCGTTTAGGTCAGTTGGCCAAGTGGAAGACTGCTGAGGAGGTGGCTGCCTTGATTCGTTCGCTGCCCGTGGAGGAGCAGCCGAAGCAGATCATTGTGACGCGCAAAGGCATGCTGGATCCTCTCGAGGTGCATTTGCTCGACTTTCCCAACATTGTCATCAAGGGCTCTGAGCTGCAGTTGCCTTTCCAGGTAAGTGCCCACCTACAGCTACTGACATCCGGACCAAACTATGTCTAACTAATATATTTTCCTTGCAGGCCTGCTTGAAGGTCGAGAAGTTTGGCGATCTGATTTTGAAGGCCACCGAGCCCCAAATGGTGCTCTTTAACCTGTACGACGACTGGCTGAAGACGATTTCCTCGTACACGGCCTTCAGCCGTCTCATTCTGATCCTGCGAGCTCTGCATGTGAATACGGAACGCACCAAGATCATCCTTAAGCCAGACAAGACCACTATTACCGAGGCCCATCATATCTGGCCAACATTGTCGGATGAGGAGTGGATCAAGGTGGAGGTCCAGCTCAAGGATCTTATACTGGCCGACTACGGAAAGAAGAACAACGTGAACGTGGCCTCGCTTACACAGTCGGAGATCCGCGACATTATTCTCGGTATGGAGATCAGTGCGCCATCCGCGCAACGCCAGCAGATAGCCGAGATCGAGAAGCAGACAAAGGAGCAGAATCAACTGACGGCGACCACCACGCGCACCACAAACAAGCACGGGGACGAGATCATCACTTCCACCACATCCAATTATGAGACGCAGACCTTCAGCTCGAAGACTGAGTGGCGCGTGCGAGCCATCTCTGCCACGAATCTGCATCTGCGAACGAATCACATATATGTCAGCTCCGATGACATCAAGGAGACTGGCTATACTTACATTCTGCCCAAGAACATTCTCAAGAAGTTCGTCACCATCTCGGACTTGAGAGCGCAGATTGCGGGATATCTGTACGGTGTGAGTCCGCCGGACAATCCGCAGGTGAAGGAGATTCGCTGCATCGTGATGCCACCACAATGGGGCACGCACCAGACCATTAACCTTCCCAACACCCTGCCCACCCATCAATACCTCAAGGACATGGAGCCGTTGGGGTGGATCCACACGCAACCCAACGAGCTGCCGCAGCTGTCCCCGCAGGACATCACAACACATGCCAAGATCATGCAGGAGAACTCCAATTGGGACGGCGAAAAGACGATTGTAATTACCTGCTCCTTCACCCCCGGCTCCTGCTCGCTCACCGCCTACAAACTGACACCGTCGGGCTTCGAGTGGGGCTCTAAGAACACAGACAAGGGCAACAACCCCAAGGGCTACCTGCCTTCTCACTACGAGAGAGTTCAAATGCTCCTGTCGAACAAGTTCCTTGGTTTCTTCATGGTGCCCGCGCAGAGCAGCTGGAACTACAACTTCATGGGAGTGCGGCACGATCCCAACATGAAGTACGAGCTGCAGCTGGCCAACCCAAAGGAGTTCTACCACGAGCTGCACCGCACGTCGCACTTCCTGCTTTTCTCGAACCTCGAGGATGGTGGCGATGGCGCAGGCGCTGATCGTGAGGATGTCTATGCGTAGACGAATCATTTAGCTTTCGTGTTCTCGTTTTGTGCATACCAACAATTTATGATTCGTGTTTTCAAAATGTTAGCGACTAGGTACATTTCGTAATAAAATTAAATTCTTTTTCCACGAAGCAAACATTTAAACGGAAGGAAGGGCTGTGGGTTGCCAAAGTTTCCATGGCAATTCCCTATCGTATTGGTCGTTGGTTCCTTCTTAATTAGTCATCCGGCATTCGCTTTTGCTGTTACTTGTGCGTATTGAATCCATTAACTGTACGCTGTTTGTATATTATGTGTGCTCATGTAAAACTCAAGTTAATACAAAAATAAACTTCTCTTTGGTGTGTTTCTAGGTACGTTCGGTTGATTGCTGACACGCTGAACGCTCTTCTAAGAGCACTTCCACAGCACAATGGCCAAGTTGCCGGCGAAGAATAGGTACAGAATGTTCTCTGTTTCATACGATACCTCAAAGCCGAATCCCTCGCCAACTACAACATGCCAATAGATGCCGAACTTCTTGTCCATGGTCTCCTTAATGATCCTGGCTGCTTGCTGAAACGAAATTCAAGCCGACTGGTAAGGCTTACCCAATAGGCTAAGAATTAGGCTAAGGCTGCCCCTGCACCACATACCTCGTAGTTTGACGAATATTTCTCGCACGCAGTGATGCTCAGTTCAATGGCCTCCAGTCGCATTTCCTCATTCATGTCCGAGTGCTGTGAGAAAAATCGAATACTGAGATTAATCTCGCGAGCTTCCTTTGGGGCTATTTAAGCTCTTCTGCAAACCTTTACTAAAGGATAGACGTGGAGGATTTTCTTTTCACCCTCCTTGCCGCCTTCACCCTCATCAGCCATGGCTTCGATTTACTGAAACTGGCGACTGAACGAACCACGCAAGACTCCTCACAATCACAGGGACAGAACGAACTAATGTTACAAAAATTGAGTTAAATTCCGATTTACATGTGACACACGACTCAAGGTGAATGGAGCGCAGCGCTACATGTATATGTGTCTACTTCTGTCAGGTGAATGTTTATGAATTTTTGTTTTCGTTATTTGTCACGCCAGCGCCAGGGCCACTAGGACGGGCTCCTATGCTACTATGGCAATTCCTTCTTAGATATTATTCGCTTGGCCCCCTTGTCAGGAGCGAGGTTCACTTAAAACTGACGATGACGCTCAAGCACGGAGCTGGCGCTCGCCATTAACAGACTTCTGGGAAGGCAACCGCAGGGCTCCGCAGTGCCAGGATGCCAGGGGTGAAGTTTAGTGTATGCCGGGTGTATGCATTAATAGCGGAGGCAATTTCTGTGTGCGCTGCGTTTGCGCCAAGTCTGCATGTTGAAATATCCCCTGCTCTACCCCCCACCTTGCTGCATCCCTGTTTTGTTGCAAACAAAAGCAATTTCCGTGCTGGTGCCACAGCTAGACAGACGACGCGGCGTCGGCTTCGTCGTCGTCATCATCTTGGCGGCAACGACAACCCCAATTTTCGCAACGTTTTCGCAGTGATAGTGGTCAGTCGAGAGGGGAGAGGAAGGGGCGGATAAATCTGAAACTGTGCTTGGAAAAACCCACCCTGGACCACCCTAGACGGAGATGAATGTGGGATTCGAATCTGGCGGGCAATCACAAAAGGGGCACACTACAAGTGGTGCTAGTTTTACGGAAGCGAAGCCTTCTGATCACCAGTACCATCTATCGATAGTCCTACTGAGCGTCGATCGCGTTGTGTCGATGAGAAAGGAAGCAAAATACAGTTGTCCACCCAAAATACTTTTACGAGAACTAATTTAAGCACTGATTGTATCATGTTTGAAACATATCCTAAAATACACTTAAATAAACACTGGAATATTATAATGTCCTACATAAATGTAAACAGTAAACAGATTTCGTAATACTAAGATTTATTTAAAGTGCCAATATGGGAGTTGACTTGTCCTTATGATATAATATTATAATGATGGACTCCATCATAATAGGGAGCGAAGCCTTAATTGACATCCCAAAACTCCTCGTCCTCGCCGGGTAATTCGACCTTATTCAAGCTCTGCTCAAGGGTCTCACTATGGGTTGAAGTTACTGAATCTTCGTCCGAATCCTCTATCAAAACAAATTGATCCTCGACCTGAACTGATTTCTTTTTTAGAATATCGTCAAGGATCTCCCTTGTAGCGCCAGTGCGATGGATGCGAGACAGTAGTGTCTCAATTGGCATTTTATGCATGTCCTCAAAGTCGTCCTCCCCGCTTTTATACTTGTAGTATTGCTTAAAAGTATTTAGCTCGTATTGAACATCGTCCCAGATACGTTGCTCCTTGCTCCTTGTATCTACATGAAAGGGATAGGTGACACCATGTATGAGCTGGTAGCGATTGGTTTCCCCCACATTGCGAGTGAGCGGATGCTCCAGACGCATTTCAAGAATGTCCTTGCGTACAAATAGCGCTATCTGCGACACATGACCCACGGACTCGTAATCCTGGGGTGGATTGCCCACACCCATCAGGGCGAACATATAATTGGGATATTTCTGGACAATACCCATGCACCAGGACTTGAACTCTTCACGTGTCCATTCAAACTTGTGATCCTCGTGGCGAAATCCATTCGGCAGAAGGGTATTGAAGCGGGTGAAGATGACATTATAGTCGGAATTCGGTGTGCTAAATATAGCAATTTTGGGTTGCATGAATCCGAAAATATTTACTGGAATTTCGGTCAACACATCGTCATATACGTGCTCGATCCTGGAAGTAAATGTAAATAAATATTTTGGATATGGTATTGTTTTTCTAGGCAGTGCAGCTTACAGTTCCAAAGCAATTACAGCATCCGTGTCCCGCAATTCATCCGAAAAATCGGCCACGTTTCCCTGTAAAACCTTCACTTGCAGGGGACACTGGCGTTGCCTAATGTGGTCTGATACTAATGGATCTATTCGATGCATGTACTTCTTCAGCACGTCTTCGTCAATGTCCACCTACAAAACCAAAAAAGCGAATTCAAAATTAGCAGCCATTTACAGTGAATTCATCGGCATTCACAACGACGGACCGACGTGTCTACTTCGCGGAGGACAAAGTTGATTTTTTTTGGTATATTGCAGTATATTTACATAGGGTTGCCTAGTATTCCCAACATGCAAAACAAATTGGTACAAAATTAAATAAACTCAATGCTTTTGCACTACTATTATTGGAGCGTAGGATATCTTTCGATACATTTCTCTTCTTATCATAATTATTGCATCGGATTGTCAATTTGTTTTTATTTTTCATCAACAAAATTTTTTAAAATTATTAGTTGTTTGTCTGTGATTGGGGTTAATTCATATAAAAGTATTCAGACAATGTGAGAGCGTCAAAATTGAGTTGAAAGTATTTTTTACGGTATATTTATACAAAAATTTACGTATATTTCGGTATATTTTATGAAGGGTTGTCACACTGCTTTTCTTGTAATTTGTTACGAAAATAAGTGAACAATAAATAAAGTGTATAAGGCGATGAACTCTTTGTGAAAATTAAACGTGTTAGCCGCCTCACTAACTACAAATTGTAAGCACTAAACTAATATACGGCTATAAGAGGTAGAAACTGGTGAAAAATTGGCTTGTATAGGACAGAGAAAGAAAACGTAGAAAAAAAGAAGAAGAGAGAGCTGGCAATACGTGAGAAAAATAGCTGGAAAATCAATTCAATCGAGTTTTTTGCCTTAGCAAACGAGTGGAAACTGGAAAATGTTTATAACGAATACTCAAGTGCCCAAAAACAATAACAATATGCTGCAATGCTATGCAATATAATGCCGGGGGAAGAAAAATCTATTTTTTTTTTCTCTTTTTGTTTGTCTGTCCGTCTGTCCGGTGATTTGTTCCTATTATTACAGACTTTAAAAACAGAATCCTTCAGACGTGCACGCATGATCTATTATTGAAGTAGGTGATAAATGCAATATTTCAAACATTTCTGGAAGATTTTAAATTATTTGTTTTGTTTGTGTGTATATACACACTAACACAAGCGAACACGCTGTCGCTGTCTATTTGACATTCCCCACTCTACTTGTGCAGATGTATGTACATATGTAACTAAAATGTGTAAATAATTAATGAATTAAAAAACTATATAAAGTGCGTTAAAAATTATGTATTTAGCACTGACAGAAAATTCTCCACTCCAATCACTCTCTTCACTCACACAGTCCCGACCCCGCGAATATCAGGTGAAAAGGAAAAGGGTAACAACAAACTAAACGGAATCGGATAAAAACAATAACATTTGTACACGAAACGCAAATTTGATCAACTCAACGTTCCTTAATAAGTCTTGCGTAAATCTAAGACGAGACTGAAATTTCGCCTAATCCGCATAATCCCACATCCAAGGCGGGGGCATCGGCACCACGGACAGACGAGATGGGCAAACGGCTCCCATTGGAACGCCCACCGACAGATCGCAACATACGAAAACGAAAGCGGGTGGTGGCCAAAGAAGCCAGCGGTAGTGTGACTGAGAAATGCCAGCGCCTTAGCGCCTTAGCGACAAATGATAATGGATATGCGTTCCACGAGAACGACGACGAGGACTCCTCATCGTCGGGGTCCGCTGGCGGTGGTGAAGTAGCGGAAGATACATCAGTGTTGAGGACCCCTCAAGCTCAAAACCTCCTGTTGGCCGGAGCCAGTTTTGCCAGTGACCACAACCACTCAAACTCAACCGAGTCGCCGCGTCCGGTATACACATTGCGCCCATCAGTCGTCAATGGAACGATACTGAGAGACGTGCTGTCCAAGGCGTGGCGTTTGGGACGACCCATAGGTAAGTGATGATTGACCAGTTTGCAGTTATGCAAATGCAAAGCGCTGATTTTAACCACCATACTTTTATGTAGGCAAGGGCAACTTTGGCGAGATATTCCTAGCATCAGACGACACTGTCTGCCCCGTTAGTTCAGAGAGAGCCAAATTTGTCGTTAAAATTGAACCCCACTCAAATGGCCCACTATTCGTCGAGATTCACTGCTTGATCAACACGTCTCACATTCTGACTAAGAGTAAGCATTACACACCCAAAGGTTTATTGCTTTATGCTAAGATCATTTTTGTTGTTGTAGAAATAACCGATGATCACGAGGATGCTTCCAAAATGTCTGCTCGTAGGCAAAATATTAGCAACGGGCCGCCGTCCGGAATACCCAGCTACATTGCCTCAGGCACACACTACTTTGGAGATGCTCGCTATCGGTTCTTGGTCCTGCCCCGCTTCGATCGCGACCTGCACTCGCTCATAAAGAACTCACGGGTGGATCAGAAAAGCCTGCTGGTCATCGCTATCCACATAATTAATGTGTTAGAGCATCTCCATGATAAGGGCTATTGTCACAACGATATCAAGGCACAGAACCTAATGATATCCAAGTGCAAATACCTCAAACAGGAGGCAGTGCGTACGGGAAAAGGCAAGGGGGCAAAGAGCGAGGGCTACGATGAGCATTACGATGAGAAACAGCAGACGACAGACAGCGGTAATAGCTCGGAGCAGGAAACAACGGATGATGTAGTCAAGTTCAGTGATGGCGATGGAGACTACTTCATGAAGAACAAAAAGTTTGCTTTTAAGCAAACTCGGATGTCCTCGGATGTCGCCGAGGAAGACGAGGAAGATGAGGACTTTGATGATGGCGCCACTTCGAACAGTAACAATAGCAACAGCCAGGACATGTATCACACGGCAATGAACAATAATAAGGGAAGCGTTCGCAAGCCAAATATTGAGTTTAGTGGCTCCAATCCGGTGCGGTCGTGCCGTCGAGAAAAGCGCAATTCCATGTACGAAGAAATGGTCAAGTCGCACTATCTGCGACCCACCAAACGCGTTAGCTACCGCGAGGACTTCAACGAGGAAAAGGACGATCAGTCGCCAGTTACGTCCGATAACGATTCAGAGGAGTTTCTTCCACCATCGGCCAGACGCTCGACAGCAGCCGTGGGTAAACGGGGAAGACCCGCACAAGCACATCCATCTACGCCCTCCAAGTGCTCCATAACTACGCGAGCAACGCGCCATCAATCGAAACTCAAAAGCGAAATGAACGAAGGTAGCAAAAGGAGTGGAAGGCGGCAACAGGAAGACAACCAGTATCATGCAGAGTATCAGCTCCTCCCCGCCCAGGAAGAGCACGTGTTCCTTATCGACTTTGGCCTGGCCTCAAAGTATCAAGACCGCGGTGTTCACCGTCCGTTTATTATGGACCAACGACGTGCGCACGACGGCACCCTGGAGTTCACATCGCGAGATGCCCATCTAGGCGCGCATTCGCGGCGGAGCGATCTGGAGTGCTTGGGCTACAATTTGGTCTATTGGTCAGAGGGTTATCTGCCCTGGAAGGATGTGGCACAGCAGCAACAGCAGGAGAAAGTGCATCGTGCTAAAGAACTTTTCATGACAGACGTCTCGGAAATGTTGCGTCAATTCTACGGCAAGCAAGTTCCTAAGTATTTGGGCGAGTTTCTGAAACAGATTGGACAGCTGGCATACCAGGAGCGTCCCAATTATGAACGTTATCGCAACATCTTTAAGCGGGAGTTTCAGCGTTTGGGCTATGATCCTAGCCAAATGCGGTTAAACAGCGAAGAGATTTTGCGCACACGCGTGGCTGTTAAGGACGAGATTGATGGCAACAAATGCGATATATTTGAACTGAATAATAAGATATCCACTAACGTGATGCGTAACTCAGCGCTTAGCACTCCGTTCCAGGAGCACTCGATAACGAATCGTGTATCGCCGAAAAACCTGCGATCCAAGTCGAGCAAGAAGAATGTGAAAAAGAAATTCTCATGGGCTGAGGTTATCTCTCAAGATCCCGATCAAATAGCGCGCGAACGGGCAGCCAAGGAGTTTGAACGGGAGGAGACCATATGCCCATTGCAAATGCGTCTTCCCAAGCGCTATGAGGGCAGGCCAACCTATGCGATACTGGCAGTTGAGCAGAGTCGGCGCGATAAAGGACTGGTCGTGCAGGAACACAACGAAGGCGAATACCATGATGAAGTCGATGCATTGACTCGCGAGCAGGAGCAGCAGGAGGAAGAGGAGGATAATGCTGGAGCAGAAAGCACTGATGGAGAGGTAAATTCTAGTGACATTTAAAGCAGACATTAGATATTCAAAAATGACCGTAAATATATATATATTTATTTTTATCATTAACCAGCAGTATGCAGAGCAAGGCACGTCCGATGAGAGTGATTACTCTGACCATTCCGAGGAAGCAGTGCGTCGACGCGTCAGAGGAGGAGCCTATCGGAAAAAAACCACCAGCAAGCAACCCCAAGCACAGCAGCTAAAACCCAACCGAGGTGTAGCACGTAGTGGCAAAAACTTAGCTGCAGTTAAATCTGCCACCGGTGCTGTTAGCAAATCACGCTCCACGCCGTTGTCATCAGTGGCCAGCAACAAACGTGGCTGCGCCACACGCAAAGAAAATGCCACTGTGGCCTCCGCTACCGCTGAGGTGGAGCGCAAACTGAAGTCAAGGCGGTCGTCAGAGGATCGTCCCAAGCAGCGGCGGACGCGCCGTTGTCTATATAAGACTGAGTCAAAAATTGGCGGGCACGATGTAGAGAACAACTCGAGCTTGGTGGAAGTGCAGAATCTGTACAGCGAATACGATGATGAGAATAACTACATCAAGGGGCGTAATGTCAACTCGTCCAGGCATTGTCGCAAATTATAGAGCGATAAATAGGGACCGACCGACTAGGGGACTGGACTCCAAACAGAGCAGAAGCAAAGCAACCTTAACTCGTTGTCAAGTATTTTTAGTGGTAAACAAGGCACTAGCCGATGCCAGATGAGGTGTTCAAAGGAACAGAACATAACCTAATCATGCTAATACACGTGGACACCACTCGTAATGATTTTTAATTTTGGTTTTTAAATCATTTAATTAGTTAACTGTAAGCATTCAGATTGGTACGCTCAGATCAGGCGTAGCGCAGCTATGAGAGCATCAGCTCAGCTCCGCGCGCAATACGTTGTTGAATTATCCGATGTTGTAAGAAATATATGTACGAAACGGAACACAAACGGTGTGCAGGAACAGTGCACTGTTTGGCTCCAAATGGCCTTGATAGCAAATCTTTCATATTTTGAATTTTCATTTGCCACTTTTGCGTTATTGTTAGGTTTCATTACCCTTTACCCCGATTCGATTGCATATAAAAAGGTACATACTCTCCTCAATAAAGTATTTAATATAAATAGATAAAGGTTATTTCATAATTATTATGATAGCAGTCTAAGCTAGGATACGATACAGATACAGCCGAAGTAAATAAAATATAATCGTGTTTCCTTAACAATTTCCCTAAAACAAACGCCAATTTACTTAATGCTTACCAGAACTATATTTTCAATTGTTTCAATTCGTCTTAGTAGGGGGAAAAATCGGATTTCTGCACATCCAAATTCGACAGATTTCCGGATCTGGGACTTCCATCGAGGGTCGCTTAAAATTTGAACTGCGGCGCAATACCTCTGTTCGTATACTGGCGGATCAAAGCTTATATTATGTACCGTCATTGCAGTAACGGTCTGGAAATCTCCACAAGGAAGTTTATACGAAAACATTGCGCTTCGCTTCGCAATAATTTTTGCAATTATATTTTGTTTAATGTTTTGATTGTCGCGAGACAGAGAACGATTAACCCATTGTCGTCCAGGGGGTCTCATTTGAAAATGAGAAGGTATATTTGGGTACATTTCTCAGCGAATTTATCGATTCGACCAACAGAAATAGCGGTCACACTGTGTCAAAGTAGTAAATAATAAAAAAAAAAACTGATTTCGCAAGATGCGGTATAATATGTTTGCAAGTGCTTTCAAGTTGCTGAGTAGCACTAAAAACAATAGATTGTTGCTTATAAATGGACGCAGTTTGTCTAATGCCACTCAATCCGACGACACATCGTCCAACAATGCGCAACTTCCCCTTCCTCCGCAAGACAGTGCGAAGAATATTTATAAGTCAGAGGATCAGCAGAGATCTCTGCACATTGCTGTTATCGGACTGCCCAATGTGGGCAAGAGCACGTTCATCAACAACGTAATCAACCACAGGGTATGTCCTACATCCGCCAAGGTGCATACAACCCGCAAGTCGAACACGGCCATTTGCACAACTGGACAAACTCAGCTGGTGTTCTACGATACGCCCGGCTTGGTGACCCAGCGGGAAATAAGGAAGCACCACTTGGAGCAGAGCTTCAGGAGCTCCTACCGACATGCCATTCAGCATGCGGACGTCATCGCCGTCATGCAGGATGTCTCAAACAGCTGGACGAGGAAGGAACTGCACTCCACTGTATTGGATACCTTGAAGGCCTACGCCAACATACCCAGTTTCCTCGTGCTGAACAAGATAGATGCTCTAAAGTCGAAGCGAGTGCTCCTGGACCTGATCAAGACTCTGACCAATGACACGCTCTCTGGTCAGCGTGCTGGCAAAGGAGCAACGCGAGGTATAGCAGGCGGCGACGCCACGGATCAGGTGGCAGAGGGAATTCCACTCAACAAGCGACAGACCACTTGGGATCACTTTGATAATGTGTTCCTTGTCTCAGCCATGACAGGCAGTGGCCTGAATGAGCTTCAGAACTATCTGATTGGACAGGCACTGCCCAGGCAATGGAGATTCGCCTCCGACATTCACACAGATGCCAGCCCCGAGGCTCTAATTGTAGAAAGTGTTCGCGCCCGTTTGCTGGACTACTTGCCGCAGGAGATACCCTACAACCTGAAGTGCGAGCTTGAGTATTACAGCTTGGAGAAACGTATGTATATATATACGATGCAGTCATTTCCATATAAATAACAAATTCCCATTGTAGATGTTGTCTACACGTCCGTTCAAGTGCAATGCCCCACTGAACGCATTGAGCGGTTGATATGCGGCGAGTCCAATGGCAAACTGCGACAGATTACTGAACGTGTGACCTCCGATTTGGTGGAGATGTTCGGCCAGGCGGTCTCCCTGACCATTTCAACGGTCTCCAAGGGCAGGAAGAGTACTTCCGCCGACCGAAGCTAAGCCCCTCAAATTAGCTGTTTTTGTTAAATTTTACTTTAATTGTAATGATTATATAAAACATAGAACTTATAACAGTTTCAAGTGTGCAACCAACTTATCCAGCTCAGCAGCTGGCGCTGGTCCTAAGCCCAGAACCGTGGCCGTTCCCGCGTCCAGCTGTGTTCGGCCAGCATCCCTCACCAAAGCAGCAACGACGTTCGCCTCCTGCGCTTGTCGCTCCAGTCCATTTAGTTGCTCGAAGTTTTCAACACGCAACACAATCTTTGGTTGTCCCATGTGACACCATCGCTGCAGAACAGCACTCTGTTCCGCCGTGCCCTGAGCGGCGTTCTGATAGCACATGACGGCAGCGTGTGCACATTGGGCCGCCGTTTTACCTTTGGTCATTTTCAGATCGCCGCGTACGACGAGCGCCAGCTTGGTTGGTTTGGTGAATGCGGCGCTTATGAGCTTCTGCAGGATGCTACTTGACGTTGGCATACTTTTTACTCTGCTGGTCGATGTACTTCTGCATACAGGCCCGGAATTCTTTCACTCTGTCCTGGCATGCACGCCAATCACCGGTCTCGGCTATACACTCCTGCACCTTGTAATGTAGCTCAATGCAGCCCGTTTTCTTTAGCATTAACTCTACGGGATCCTTTTCATCAGCGTCGGACATCTTTTTCTGTCAGCCGGCTAAAGTTGCATCATAAGTTTCGAAATTATATATAATTATTTCTCTTCAGGCACACTGTAAACAGTGTTTATCGGTTGTATCGTTAAAATATACCGTCGGACTCTCAGAAATATACCAAGGAAAAAAACGAGCTTAACCCACTATGGAATACATTTTTTCTGAGCTTCTGAGCGAATGCAAAGAACCCCAGAGACTCCAGAACCCCGAAGACCTAGGAACGTACGCTAAAAATTCAGCTGCAACACATTCGTTGTATGAACTACATCTATATCTATATACTATATGGTTAGTGAAGAAACAGAGATAAATTTGGGTTGGTGGCTGTTACCAGTAAGACCAGAGCATATATTTCTCTCGCTCGCACTGCTTGATTTGCCTATTTAGCCGATCTTAGTTCGAGTTAAGTCTATTGGCATAATGGTATAAGCGACTTGATATTTGACTTTGTCTCACTAGTTTGCATTTGTATCCCAGATTTGTGAATAATTCTGATGGGCGCACGGCCTTACAGGTGACGCTGTTCTTTGGCCCCGAAATGGACTGGACTGGGTAAATATTTGCCCCACAGCCAATCAGGTCAAAGACAGTTGACCATACGATCTGTCTCGGTTGCAGCTGGACAAATATGTGGAGGACAGTGCTGAGAAATAGTAACATTTGGGTGGGTGCTTATAAATACGGTCTGATCGGTTAGTTGGTCAGTATCTGAGCTTGAATTAAGCAAGGCAATCATGGATATGTCGGTGTTGTGGCTGTATCTGCTCCTGGTGTCCGTCCTGCTGTTGTTCCTGGTGCCCACAGCCGAGTCAACTTTCCTTCTATGGGCCTGCATTTTCCGGCTGAATATCTGTCCGTTCCTCATCACGACCACCCCCGCTACCAGTTCGACTTAATGGAATATGATGGAGATGCGACAGGACCCGTCAAAACAATAATTAATTAACTTTCCATAGACGGCTATAAATAAATGCAAAACCCTATCGACATCCGTTAGATCAGCCATCTTCAAACAAACTGTTCACAGGCATAGACTATAACTTAAAAACTTGATAACTTTATTCTAGGCAGTCTTCTTCACATTGTCCATCAAAGGCGAGCTTATATCACCCAGGACAGCTTCATTGCTGTAGTCATAATAGTCCCCGAAGTTGGCCCATGTGTAGTTGAAGTACATAGGACTTGCCCTGGGATCATCGGGTTGGTTGGACGGCGGGACAGCAGTGGAGTTGATATGCTGAAGCTCGGCCATCAATAAGTCGAGTACCTTGGGATATCTGAAAGAATTAAGGGATTACGGGGCAGCCGAACGTGTTGAGCAGAACGTTTCCAACTTACTGTGCCGCCAGGTTGAATTGTTCGCAGGGATCGTCGCGCACATGGAACAAACATGGGGCTGAAAATGCCGTCGCCACACAACTGGTGCCTTGAGTCGATTGCCCTTGACAGGTGACGGTGGCAGCCGCTCGCAGTCTCTGCTGATCCGCCCGACTTGGGAGCATTTTCATCCCAGCCATGGCTTTAAATAATTAATTAACAATAATAATTAAACATAATTATTTAACTTAATTTCCTTTCATTTCCCCTTACCATTTCCACTCCTACTCTTGAGCACCAGGTTCCAGTTATAAAGATGAGGATCTCGCTCCCCACCCGGTCCGTACCAGCCGTCCCATCTTCCATTGTAATTAGTGCCCTGGATCATCTTCCAGTCGCCCACCGTCAAGGCGGCGCTGCCCCAGATGTCGTCGATGTTGTGAAGCACAGTCTTTCGTGGCGATGGTAAGTCATGGACCAGGGTCTGCCAAAGGCTCATCCCATCTAAACTCTGGCTGAGATTGGCCAGAGCCGGATTGCCTCCAGCGGCCTCCATCAGCGTCGGTAGCCAGTCGCTGATGTGCATGGTCTCGTCGACAACGCGTCTCCTCTTCTCGAGAAGCGGCGACCAAATGAGGCCAGCGGCTCTAACGCCTCCCTCCCACAGAGTGTTCTTCACGCCCCGCAACGGATAGTTGGAGGCAAAGTTCAAGTTGAATCCCTGAGCCGGGCCACCGTTGTCCGAGGAGAAGACAATGATCGAGTTTTGCAGCATGTTCGACTTTCGCAACTGGTCCACAATCAGGCCTACGCTCTCATCCATTTTGGCGACCATGGCTGAAAGCGAGAAACCAGAACAACGTTGCAGCATCAGCACTAGAGCATTAGACTTGCGATCGAAGCGCGGGACTGACCGGCGTATCTGCGACGCTTGTAGTGGATAATGTGGTCCAGCTTCATCACATCGTCGTCTGGCACCGGCAGTGGATTGTACGGGTTGCCCGAATGACCAGCCGCATGCGCCACGTACAGGAAAAGTGGACCTTTCGTTGCGTCATGGTTGGCTATCACCGAGACCGAGTGCCTTGTTATCACATCTGTCGTGTACTGTCCGTGAAGATTGTAGGCCACATCCGTTCCGTTGCGCATGTCCAGGCCCCATAGGTGTTTCTCGACGGCCGTATGATCGTTGTAGTCATGATGGCCGGACCAGAAGCCCACATGACTGCTAAATCCCCGATACAGCGGCGTATACTCGAGCTTCCAATGCCCCAGATGCCATTTTCCAGCTATGTGGGAGGTGTAACTGGGGCGCAAATGAATAGAGATAAGAATATGATTGTTTCGGAGATAAATTGCGAAGGACCTACCCCAAATCATTCAAATATTGTGGTAGAATCTTTTCCTCCAGGGGCAGTCCACGTGGCTCAGCCGCATAGAGCACCGTATGCTGCATACCTGTCCAAGACGAAGGACATGGATTGAGAGATTATAGCCAAGGACCAAGTCAACATACCCGTATGAATGGGATATTTTCCAGTCATTAGTGCGGACCTCGATGGTGTACAGATCGGAGCGACATAATATCGATTCAAAATGATGCCCGAATAGGCCAATGCATCGATGTTGGGCGTGGGAATCTCTGCCGAGCCATGGAAGCCCACGTCGTTGAACCCCTAAAGGTAGAGATAGCCAACAGATGATGATTCTTTGATTCTAGCTAGCAGCAGAGCAACCTACCAAATCATCGGCCAGAATGAAGATGATGTGAGGCTTGGCCGGATCGTTGCCCGCCTCGGAGGCAGTCAGCAGGGGCAGCAGCAGCCACAGCAGGACCAGAAAATGCATGGTTTGTGTCTCTGAACTGGAAAATCGGGTGAAAAGTGTCGGCATTAGATGTTATTAGCTCTCACTAATTGATGTATTGCAGAGATTCGAAGTGTTCAATGGTTTGGGTTCCTCCATCAATTACAATTACGAGTACGCGACGATATCAATTGATCGGCCGCCCAGTCTACATTTTCGACTAAGTATTGAGTGTGATCGTCGTCCGGCGAACTTACCGTCACAGCTCGGGAAACGGGAATAAAAATGAATCGGCAATTGCAATGGGGCTCGATGTCCAGCCTGTGCTGTGCTAGTTGCTCCCCCAATGCCACACTTCAGCTGAAGCGACGCATAATTGATTCGATGACAGATTTCATGGCTGTACGAATGGGAATACTGAACCAGTTGCCACAGGAATGGCTGGTTATACACTACTACTGCCAACTGAAAAAAAATATCTACATTTCTGCACAGCACAGTCCAGAACGGCTTCTAGTCAAGTCCCATCTAATTAGCATGTGAATTGCGTTGTGTCGCTGCTTTTACCGTTAATAGGTCAAATAAATGCCACACAGTAGCAGCAGCAGACAGCGTCAGCAGCACGTAAATTAGTATGTTCAAATTAAAAAAAAACCAAATCGGAATGGAAGAATTGGATTGATACTAAGTCTTTATTTCGCCGAGGCGAACTTCTAATGCCCTAGCAGAATGACAGAGAGTGTATTTATTGTTCGTCAAAGTTCGTTCACCCACTAAAACATAAGAGAAATTCCTTTATACTACAAAATTATTCATGAGCGAGTGTTTTGTTTGTTTTGTTTATTATTGAAATGGCAATGAGGTTTTTTTTTGTGGTTTTTATACTCTTGAAAAGGGTATTATAGAACTGGTCAGATATTTGTAGTCCACAGAAGAAAGCATCTCCGATCCCATAAATAATATACATTACTGATCAGGATGACAATCAATGACCGTCTGTGTCTATGTAAACTAGTCTTTGCCTGCCCTGGCCCCATGCGTCCCGTACACGAAAAGCGGACCCTTCATTGCTGGCCATTACCGTCACCGAGTGCTTTTTAATTCCACTTTTCCATTCGTGAACATCTACCTGTTGAACCTTTGAACATGTATATTTCAGACGCACAGTTTAAAAAAAGTCGAACTTCAAGGGTATATAAGTTTCGGCTCTTAGAAACTAGCATCCTTACAGGTTTTAGTAAAGTAATTTAAGCTGAGCACTTAACTTGGTAAATATTCGGCCAGTCACTTTTGTTTGAAATTAAATTTTGTGTACACCTTTGAAATAAAAAGTTTCACGTTTAGCATTTACTTTTATTGACAACCAGACCAGACCGCCGCAAACCGTTTATTTAAAGAGTTGGATCTGGATCGTGCATGGATCGAAATGAGCGAACGCTATGTTAACCAAACAATAACAGAATTAGCTGCGAAAGCTCCCAAGTATGAACTGGCGCATTTATAAATTGGTTAGTGGCAACTCTCCCGCCGACAATTCGTATTTAAGAAAGTATCAATATATATTTTTTTGAGTTCTAACGATTTTTCGCTCAAAGAAAGGACAAAGCAAACTTTACTCCTTGATAACGACAAAAGATATGTGTATTTGTAATTGTAATCGTTTCACTCGACTTACATTTTCATAAGTTGACCTACGATTTGGACCTCTAGTATATACACACGTTATGGTTAATTGCATTTACATTTATATTATTATAGTACATAGCTCTGTGGTTTCAACGGGCGATGGCGAAGAAGGAAGGGATTTAGGATTCAATAAGCACAATTAATTCAACTACGAACTCATAGACGGGGATCCGTATTCTTCAGCCAGACGATTTAGACAGATCCAAGCCAAACAGATTTAATGCTAATGATACTAGATAGATTCAGTAGACATTGGAAAATAAATTTAAACTAAACAGGCAATCATTTCTTATGGAAAGCACCCAATCACCTAATGCTTTGTGTTTGTATTCAATAGTCCCTCAGAGTGGGGGACCTGTCTTAGAGAATTTCAAGGTCTACGTGTCGTATTTCCGGAAATTGCGTCTGTCAGGAGAAGGGAAGTGTATAGCTGTTAAACAGTTTAAAATGTGGTTCAGTGTAACTTACCCGCAGATTCATTTCAATGCGATCGATCTCACCGCCCATAAGGTCCACAATGTTTTCGCCATGGGCGAGCAGGAATATCTCCAGATCGTCCACCTTTTGGAAGCCACGAACAGTCTGGAACCCGATCAAGAAAACTTAAAAAAATAGTTCACAAATAGGTCAGGACTACGCACCGTAAGTAGCTTGGCGAGATCCTGCTTGTCCAGATACGAGCGCGTCAGCTCGCGACCATCAAAGTCAAGCTCAGCCTGCGAGAAGAACCAAAGAATTCAATCAAATTTGTAGCGAAAAAAACCAAGGTCAGAGTCTCACCTTATATCGGACACGAGCATTGCCAATATCAATGCCCTTGACATCATAGATAGCCCGGATCATGACATCAGCCTCCAACGCAGTGTTGATCTTCTCCAGGCGGTCGGTCGAAATAGAGACACCCACTAGGGCATTGGCATTGGTGTAAATAATGAAAGAGGCCACGGCTCCCAGCAGACCTCCAATGACAAGCGATCCTGCGGCGTCAAAAATGGGCGAGCCCGTATAGCTGCTCAGTCCCATGCAGGTACCGGCTACAATGACACCAGTCACGGCAGCAGCATCTTCGCAGAGCACCACATTCACGCAGGGATCCTTGCCAGAAATAACTAATTAGTGAAAAGATAAATACATATGTATGAGAAACTTCCAGAGCATCCAGATGAGTAAGGAAAATGCCAACCGTATTCCTTGAAGCTCACGTTATTAACACGGGCCGCACGCTTCAGCTCATTTATGGCTACCATCAGGGTAGCGCCTTCGGAGACCAACGATCCCATCAGAATGCAGTAGACCCAGAAAAGATCGGCGATGGGCTGAGGATGGAGAATGCCCTCAATGCCGTGATAGATGGACAGACCACAGCCGACACAAAAGATGCCCACGCCTGAAATCAGCGAAGACACATAACGCATGTTCATGTAACCATAGGGATGGTCTGTATCAGGACTCTGTGAGGACTTGTAAATGCCAAACGCAAGTATAAGCTGGTTAATAAGATCCGCCAACGAGTGAATGACCTCGGCAAACATGCTGTGGGAGCCACTGTACACCCATCCACCTGCCTTAAAGAGCAAATTAGCTGCATTGCTGGAAGGAGGCGTTTATGTGAATCGTTTGTCTTGTCAAGCAATTTATTCTTACATGGCAATGGCGGTGGCTACTACTTGTCCAGACTTCTCCGACTCTTTTTGATTATCCATCATAATTTTGGTGCGAGAACCAATCTCCCGGCGATAGTCGCGCAGGCGGCGTTTCACAGTAAACAAATCTGTTGGAGCATCCACATTTACCAACACCATCAACTGGTTGAATATGTACGTGAAACAGGAAGTCACTTACTCTGCTGGTACTGTTTGCGTTCCACCTCGCGCTTGAGACGCTCACGCAGAAGGTTCTCTTTGGAGCCCCACACTTCCACAGCTTTTGCCTCGACATCCCGTCGCCAGTAAACGGTCATGGGAGGCTCTTGTTCGTAGGGAGATCTCCTCTTGATCTTCGATAGAGAGTCCAGGTCAGCAGCCGTTAACATAAAATCTGCAATTGCTCTCCCTGGAGTAACAAAATTTCGCTCTAGTGAGGCGCGATAATCGAAGCGTGCGCGCTTTGGTGTTGGTGTGACAACAGGTGGAGTCTCTGCAGGTGGTGCTGTTGGACTGCCCTTGGTGTCCTTGACCTGTGCTGGCGACTTAGGAGCAGATGTAGGCGAGCTAGAAGGTGGTTCAGAGTCCGTGGTACTATTAGCTCCATCTCCTACAGTTTTACTCGTATTGGACATCATATTGATGGCCGATGAGTCTGATTTCTCAAATACAATCTCATTGATCTTTGAGTCTTCAATGGTCGTGCTAATGGTTAGGATTCCCTTGGAAGTTTTCACCTCGAAGTTTTTTGTTTGTCTAACATTCGTCTTGGCCTCAGTCGTCTCCTCCTTCGACTCCTCAACAGGTCCAACGACTTTATCAAGTGCCAGCTTTTCCTTTTTCTTGGAATCGCTCCCTCCGGCACTACAGCGAAACTGGAGGAACATGCCGGGACGTGTCCGCGCTTGCGGCTTGAAGAGTTCCGAGTCATTTTGCATCCAACTTTTGCCGGAATCATGGCGCACAGACAAGTGACTAATAGCTCTGCTGAACTGCTGGTGTCTTCGCTGCAGGAGTTGCACGCCGCGAAACAGCATCCTGCTTCTCGCAGCAATGCTCTGAAAATGCAAAGAGTTTAAAAATGCTCGAGTGCTTCATATCATATCATATAATGCATCTCTGCCACTTACACGGCGCGCGCTGTCTCAATATCAGACTTTCAATCAGATGTTGTCTATTGTTGGCGTTATGATTCCACTTTTAGCGCAAAGCTACGAGCAAAGATGGTGTGTACTTGTGATGCAAAAATTACTTTGTTCCACGCCTCTTCAGGCTGTGTGTCTCGGAATTGACTTAAATTTTGAATTAAATAAAATTAACAATTTTTACAACTAACTTAGCCCGGCTGAGATAAAGACAATGATGCTATCGATACACTATTGACTGTGCACGATATATAGGAACTGTTACCGCTTTCCAGCACTAGCGTAAACAGCTGTTTTTCGCCGGTTTTATAACAATATATTAAATCTTTTTTTGTTCCGTAATTGCTATTTTCGGGTTATTAAGATGTATCTGATGATTAGAATTGCCAGATTTTCCCGTCAGATAGCTCGCCCACTTGTAGAGCCTCGCCACTTTGCCATATTTTGTTCTAGTGCGGATTTGAGAGGGAGAAAATGTACGTATTACATTGAATCAAATTTTAAAGATTTTGAAAAGTCTGATTATGATTCCAGGCATGTCCACCAAGGAAACCAGCGAGGGCGGTAATGAAATTTTGGTCGAAAGATTGGAGGGCGCACAGAAAGGTATTACAGTGCTTGGCCTTAATAGGCCGGCAGCCAAGAACTCGTTAAGCCGTGCAATGGTGGATACCTTTAGAGAAATCTTGGACGAGATTAAAAAAGATAATGATTCGAGGGTTGTTGTCCTACGCAGTCTTACACCGGCCATATTTTGTGCTGGCGCGGATTTAAAAGAGAGAAAATGTACGTATTACATTGAATCAAATTTGAAAGATTTTGATTAGTTTGATAACGATTCCAGTCATGTCCATCGAGGAAACCAGCGAGTTTGTTTCTAATCTACGGAATCTTTTCATTAGCATTGAACAATTGCCGATGCCCGTGATCGCCGCATTGGACGGCGCTGCTCTGGGTGGTGGTCTGGAAATGGCCCTGGCATGCGATATACGCACTGCAGCTACAAATACCAAAATGGGTCTGGTAGAGACTCGACTGGCCATAATCCCCGGCGCCGGGGGCACTCAGCGACTGCCTCGCATTCTCTCCCCCTCGCTGGCAAAGGAACTTATCTTTACTGCTCGAGTCTTGGATGGAAGTGAGGCCAAAGAATTGGGTCTCGTCAACCATGTTGTAAATCAGAACGAAAAAAAGGATGCTGCCTACCAGCAGGCCCTAAAGCTTGCCGAGGAAATCCTGCCCAACGGTCCAGTGGGTGTACGAATGGCCAAACTGGCCATTGACAAGGGCATGCAGGTCGATCTTAGCACTGGCTACTCCATAGAAGAGGTGTGCTATGCTCAGGTGATACCCACAAAGGACCGCTTGGAGGGACTTGCCGCGTTTGCCGAGAAACGCAAGCCCGTCTACAAGGGAGAATAAATGGATAGGCCCACGGTCCTATTGTTAAGCTGAACAGTGCATTTATAAGTTATTCTGTAATTGTCATAGACAAACACATGATCAAGTCCAATTTGCTTGATTTTATATAAATACAACGATTCGATCGAGCTGCCAAATAACTTGAATTACGCTAATTATTCAGCTATTTTTTAATCGGCTCGCTGACGCATCTGCACTTATTCATGACAATGCTAATCACAGCCATTAAATACCACCGATTGACATCTAATTGTATTTCCATTGCACACACAGCGGGAATATGGAACTGGAAATGACATGCAAAAATCACCTTGATCATGTTGGCGCTTGAGCTATGCGGAAGCAGACATTTCTTTGGAAGCCCCAAGTTCACAAATCATTTAGAAAGTTTCTATTGTTCTGGGGGATATTAATATATGTACATAGATACATATATGCATGCACATATGTACATACATATGTATGTGTAAGTACGGGTAGGTCTGTATAACCATTTCTTTTGTCACCGGAGACCGGCAACTGTCAGAGTTGCGGAGTTGGGGCAGTTGCTGTTGGTGTGCCTGCATTTGTCGAACAAGTAATTTGCATAATGCAAATATCTTGTGCGTACCCCTTTGACACGCCTTTAGGGCGTGGCGTGCTCAACACTTATTAGCCTTTTGTCACCTGCGGCAACGAGAAACGAAACACTGAAATACTGAAATCACTTTATTAAAAAAATAAAGTGAGAGAATCTCAAGATGAGGCTGCGACCGGTTACTCCGCAGCATGTCAAGGAAGTTTATTTTGGCCGTCTCACCTTCACCGCCTACCAACCCATCGTACGTCCACTATCCCATATTTCTGTTACGTCACAAGCACTGACACCACCCACACACGATCGCCCAGAGAGCATTAAATTAAAATGCGATGCGGGTGTTTGACATCGGCAAGGTCAGTGCCGTTGCTTGACTTAGCGTGGAAGCAGCAGCAGCAGTAGCAGAGACTTGGAATCCGTCGAGATCTGAAACGACAATCTTTAGAGCTAGTGCCAAGCGCAGTCTGCATATTAATTAGTTAATTACTCAGCGCTGAACTCGTCCGATCTGAGCTGACCCCAAAAACAGTGTCCGAAGGCAGATCCGGAAATCAATTGCGGAAGTATACACATCAGTATATTAATTGTGTTTATTCATTATCATGAGCGATAATATGATTTGGATTTTTGTGTTGCGAATTTCTTGCCGAACAAGTCTTAAATTTAATTTTGGTTTTAATTTTGCTCAGTTGGTCAGGAAAAGTGTGATTGGCATTGTAATGAGGGGGCAGGTGGAGTCTTACATTTTATATTTGGGGAATATTTCGGAATAAACGGAAATAAATCGTTTCCAGGTATTTGCGTAACGAGTTGTCTCACTTGGACTTGCACTTGAATTAGATTGATGGCCGAGATACACAGAAGCTGAGTGTTATATGTAGATGTGGTGGAAAGTGTATTCTAATTGAGAATCCCTCCCCAAAGCTCCGATAATACTTTGAGAACCCACCCATCTAGCTTTCACGACCGGTAATGCCCCATTAATGTGATAAAACTTTATCAAGCTCAACCGAGATTGTCAATACGGACAGCAACTGTGGTAAATATTTTCAAAATTGTCTGCGCCCAATCGATAAGGAATCGTTAAGTCAACATTGCAACGGCTAGAGCCAAAGCTCTTGACCTGTTTGAAAGGGTCTTGCCTTCTCTTCTCGTCGATCCACAAACGGAGCCTTTCGGCTTATCAATCATCCAAGGCTTTCCCATAGCATACGTATACGCAACATGTCTTTGTCGGGCGTCAAGAAGAACATTTTTCTCATGCAATAGGAGATCGTTGCGTGTACAACATGTGTATTGCTGGGGCCTGTAATTAAAGATACACGATAAACGCCATTCAATAAAGACTCATGTCAACTCCGCAACGCTATTGGAGATTGGAGACATTGTTGGGGGTATTAGATCATAGTAGTAAACCAAGTTACTCACTTGCACTAGGCCATTTTCAACTTGAAATTTGTATTTTAAATGCCCCCATAAATCAGTGACCGGCAATATTTTAAATCGAAAAATTCCAAATGCACATCACGTGAGAAATGCATTTCATTTACAGTCTGTGCCATGTCAGAAAATTTTCCACTGCCCCACTAAAGCTACAGCGGTTGACAACAAAGTGGTAACGGTACTTTGTACTTTGTAGTTGAGGAGCATTTCCGATATCCACGCATGGATAATAAAATCGAAATCGGATAAGTATTACAGCGGGAACGAGGCAAGTTGTTTCCTTATTGCCTTATCCTTTCTATTTCCCGTGATTTTCTCGCATTACAGGACGAATCTAGACAGGAATATGGTTTGGAAAAATTATTTAAGCTGTGGGTTTGAGTTGAACTAGTGGCTTTTTAAGCTTACTTCGATTCCAATTCCAATTTTTTGTCTATATCTGTCGACTAGCACCTAAACAACAACAAATTAAGACCAACAACATAAGCAAACAAAACTGAACATTTCATATTTTATGGTTAGACAACAAAAACCAACAATTGACGACAAGCGACCGCAACAACAATGAGCTACTTGAAACAAGTCAGCTCCATAATCTGTCTTAAAGCATTAGTGGTTGCAGAGAGGCGTAGTGGCGGAGAGGAAGAGAGGAAACCCCTAACCAGCCAACAGAGGACCAGAAAGCCGTTCGAAATGTCTTACAAATTCTTGAGTTTGCAAATGTTCAATGTACTCGTAGTCCAACCCCATTTCTTGATACTGTCATACTACGATAATTGCCATAGAATTGGTGGGATAACATATGGATTGATTGATGGGTGAAAAGATTCATATGTATATACATATGTATGTACATATGTACGTATGGGTGATTGGTTGGCAGAGTTTGTGGGTCTGTGTTGCATACAGGGTGCGCCACAGAATGGAGTGTGACCTTGGAAATATTCACCGAAGAAATCCAATAAGATACGCTCTTATGAACATATGATCTGGAAAAACTGAAATTATTGGCAATTATTTAGCATATCTCTGACCACATTCCACAACTGCGTGTAATCTTCTTTAGATAAGGAGGAGTTTTGCATCAACCACAACCATCAACCACTCGCTGTCCTCTGCCTATCGATGTACCACGCTGCGTATGAGTAATGGGAGGAAGGCAGACCAGACCTGTCTGGCAGCCGAATGCCCAAATCTGAATGATATGTAGAAAGCACCAATACGCACGCTCCAACACTCGCACTGAGGAGAGAGAGGCCGACTTTGCCCCACCTGCGTCACGGTACCGTTTATTGTCCATTGCGCTAATTGCGCCAACCGACTCGACTCTCCTCTCCCATCTCGGGTCTCTAGTTGAGCTCCCGGCTGCAATATATCTGAGTGTATGGTGAGTGTATGGGGGGGTGCTTATATGTACGTGTAGCCGCTACGGCGAAGCCGTCGGCAGCAACAAATTCAAGCACAAACATTGGCTTAATATCAGTCACTAAGCGATCGCTCGACAGTTAACAACATATGAAACAAAATAGCTTGGAAACATTCGTTTAAATATTATGTACTTTGTTATGGTTTGATCGCGCTTGTTTCTCTTGATTGCCTCTGCAAATTCGCGCCATCAAGCACATCGCAGGCGAAAATTAGCGCGTTTGTGTGAAAACATTTTTTGTGAACGGGTACGGGTACCTCGAGCTAAACTAAATAAAGGAATTAAAATAATTACAATTAAATATACCGATTCACCCAAAGGTAAATATTGGAGAGAATAACTGCTGAAAGTTGATCAATTACTCGATTTTTGCCTTTTTTATTTATCGCGTTATAATTTTATGCAATAATTATTTATAATTAATTCCTGCACATAAAATTTATTATCGGGAAATTATAATTGATAATTATTAGATGCATGTGACACGGAAAACTACCTTAACACTAATCCATTCCAAGCGAATGGGGGCATTCCTGGAATATTTCCTGTCCCCCACCTCAAATGCCAGTCATGTCAGGAACCCGAGAACAAATCATTTCACCAAGTTTTTATTTCGCGACTCTGATAAGAGCCGAATTGGATGTCATAAAAGATTATTGACTCACTTTTATCTTAGCAGCTACCTTACAGTGCTCCCTAGCCATAGTGCAATAAACTTCAAGTCTTATTCAGTTTCTGACAATAGTATTTCTCCCTTGACTTTCCCCCGCGGCTGTTTGTCCGTCAAAGCTGGCAAGGCAAGGCATTATCTCATCATCGCTCGTCATTATGATTGTGATTACCGTATGTACATAACCGATCAATTACCCGGCTCATGCTCATCCACTTTGCATATCGAAAGTCTGTTGTGCGATAAGGTCGTATCGCCGGCAAAAAGATGCGAGTAACTCGAACTGATCCACCTTACAGCAATCTCGTCTGACACTGAGCTCCTTTCCCACTCACTCCCTCCGGGGGATGGATAAATGTATGAATGAACGAATGTTTGCACTGACAATCAATCAGTCGTCAATCCGGGCGGGCAACGGAAACTGGCCACTGGCAACGGGTTTTCTTAAGCTTCTTCTTTCGGCACGTGAAGCGAACGCACAAGCAAAACAAAGCAAGAAACACACAAGCAAAAACGACATAAAACATCAAAACAGAAAACGAAAAGTCAAAAAGGCAACCAAAAGCTGTTTTGGCTTTAGCGGAATGCATTGACCCAAAAGACATACGATCCTACACAAATGCAATTCAAAAATGTATTAACCAATTAACGGCACTCAAGGCGACGGTAATTTACTTGAGAATAAGTAGGGACGCAAACCCCAGCGAAACTGGGAGAAACCCAGCGGTGCTGCAATCCAGCTTATGTAATACCGGGGAAGGCCATAGCGAGAGGAAGGAGATGGGCCATCTTTTGAGGACAAGAAAATAAAAAAATACTCGGGTAATAAAAAAGTAAAGAATAAAATACCTAATACATAAATGATCGGACTCTCACATGTTGTATCCTCTGTTAACCATTTGTCAGAGCGAGGCTCTGAATTATCTCTGAATAATGATCATATTTATGAACTTTACTTGCTTTGAAACAATTTGATTGGAGTGAGAAGAGAATAAAGGATAATTAAATTTGACTTGCAAAAACATACAGTTGAAGATACCAAGCTGTTGAGCTGATGAACTTTACACTTTTTCTTTAACTTGCGTGGAAACAAAGATTATACATATTAGTATTTAATTTGTATAGCAAACACTCGTATCGAAACCTTTGCGTATTCCGTTTCGATCATTAGGAGAAACCCAAAAGAAAATACTGCTTCAGTGCCAGGGCACGAAGGTCCAACTTACCCAATAAATCGACGGCTGATTAGCACGATCATAAACCCCGATCCGAGTCTATATACATAATTCCTAGTGACGCACTTAACACGAATTTGAATTAAATTATAGATATAATGACCAAAGCAAACCCAAATAAATTGCCCATAAAACTAATAAGCGACAACTTTGGACTGACTAACGACTGTGATAGCCAGAGAACTAATCAATGGCCATATGTCCTGATATGATTCAGTATCGAATGGGTGAACGCTGGCGCGTGATGTCGTATAACTGCCCCCTAGAAACACAACTAGAACTCGATCATAAAGATTTACCGTCGAGTGGTGTGCCCCTCCAATAAATGGGAATTTCATCGAGAAAACATAATATATAATATCCGATTGTAAGGCTTGCCATGGCTATGGGTGTTTATATCGCCGAGCACCGATTTATTGTATTTTACGGGAGTAATGCATATCCCAATCTCAGTCCAGTTTGCAGTATGCAGTGTGCTGGCCCGATTCTAGACGACTACGAATAATCTAATCTGGCAACATAATAATAATAATAACATTAAACACGCTTTAATCTGACTACCTCCTATTAAAATATATATTTAACAATTTTAATCACTATTCCCCAAAAAGAAATGCACGGTTTTAGGGATAGATTCAGGTAAATAGCTGACTTAGTTAAGTTAATTTATTGAGATACTACACTTATTTCATTGATGAGTAGTATTGCTTGGGGGCTTTTTTCGTTCTAGCTCTGTTCTTGGTCTGGGTAGGAAATCAGATGAATGGATTTGTTTCGGGTCAGGTTCGGCTCGGTTCGGTTCGGTAACGATAAGGTTATCGGGAAGGCATTTATAATTGATTTTAAAGGTAGCATTGAGTATTTTATTATTATAGGCATTTGGCGGGTATTTGTTGTTTATTAATTATTGTTGCCTGTCTTGCTTTAAGTCGTTATCATTTTGGGACATTGTTACTTCAACATTTTCCGACACTTTTCGGCGCCGTGGCCACAAACTCAGTTCAGGCCGACACCCAAACCCAAACCCATTGAACCTCATACCCGTAGCCGCTCGTTACTTTTTAACTGATTATTTAGTTGCTTTTGGCCAGAGGACGCGTTCGGTCCTCAATCGCTCAAGTTCTTTTCGATTCGTAATACCCTAGCTGAAAAGTAAGTTCTCGGTTTCGGAGGTCCCACAAAGGCAGTAAGGGATAAAGAGAAATGCATGGAAAGTTTTGACAAAATGTAACTTCAATTTAATTTAAGTTACGTATACAATTATTCCGGTATATTTTATATATGCCTTAAATACGATTACTTAATAATTAACATCCAATGCGAGTCATTCTTGACAGTAATGTGACAAGCTAGCTGTACTCTTACGAGTATACATATACGAGCTCTGATATATTTGGATATATGTATTCTATATCTCCCCCAAACTATCACATTGGATCATATCATAGCTCCTTTGATTCCATTTTCTAAAACATACATTTATTTATACCATTGTTTGTGCTTCAATTATTCGAGTCAATTATGTCTCATACTTACTTTTGCTCAAAAGATTCTTAAAAAGTAATTTCATTAAATCATTGGGAATATTTATAAACTAATTTATGAGTTAGTTAGCTGCGGAGGTATGGTTGTTTATACCACCATAAAATTTTGTTGTTCCTCGGAACTAATCAAAAGAGCCAACCACAATCACAACCGCATTAAAAGCAGCATAATTGTTTCATAAATTTCAATAAACAACACTCTGCCATGATTAGGCTAATCGAAGCCCACTTACAGAAATTATCAAGTGGTTGGGGGAATTCAAAATATGAAAAGGCTCCATGGAGCGATCAGATACGATATCGGGAGGGGGCTACCACACTCACGCTGATTTAGGATCGCCTTTATGGCAAACGACTGCTTGGCGGTTTTTTAGGGCCCTATAACTATAGCTATAGCTATAGAGCCATAAAGCAAAATTTTATGAATGCAGTTCAATGCTGTTTACGAGTATTTGCGCACCCCCAGGCCCAGGCACCGATTCAAGCCGCGGGCGATAAGGATCTGCTCGTATCTGGAATCTTTTTGCTTGGGCAATTGTAATACTTGAAAGCTCCAAAGCATCGATAAGATACGGACGGCATGCGCCTAGCAACCCTTCAACGGATTAACTTAACCCAAGCTGCAAATGGACGAACGAAAGCGAATCTCGTGCCGGGCATGGTCAAAGTGTTACATCGATTTCTCATTCATTTTCAATATCTCTGTGCTTGTAGATGGCCGATAATGCGGGATTTAGGCCAGATGCGGAGGTTTTTGCCTCGGCAGGGCCACACCCAGACGACAATCCCCCCGCCTATTCATCATCAAAATCAACTTCTGTGGTCTCCTTGAATGACTTCAACTCAAAGTGAGTACTCGAACTCTCGGTGGATCATCCAGTATCTGGAACTAAACCTTTTCCCCCTCTATTTTTCCCTTCCAGGGCGAACCTGACGGAGAAGAATCAGCTTTCACTCTCCGAAGATCCGTACAGTCCCTTTGAGCATCGCGATCCAAAGGGAGCCAGTACTGGCGGCGCTCTAGCCCATCTGCTCAAGAGCTCACTAGGCACAGGAATTCTAGCTATGCCCATGGCCTTTCACAACGCCGGCCTGGTCTTTGGTATGTGCATGACGCTCATCGTTGGCTTCCTCTGCACCCACTGTGTTCACATATTGGTAAGCAAATCGATATAATATTTAGCACCTGATTTAGCGGCTGTTGACTCAAAAAATTACTAGAGAAACCATCAACAGCCGAGCTGACGTAGTCGTGGGTTTGCTGAAGTAGCTCAAGGTGCTGTCCCAAGTCATCCAAGACGTCTGTCAATAGAATTCGAAAGGCCTTGATAAGGCGTGCAACAGAGAGTCCACTTTTTGTATTCCACACTTCTGGAAGCTAGACAAGTCGCGATTTGGTCTAATCAGAGGGAGAGATAAATACAATTTTTATTTATATCAGCAATCAAGTTTGCTTTTATTGATTTTATTTATGATCAAGCATTTCCGATTAGCGCAAATCCTTCAGCACGTAACTTCCAAGAATTTAGATGTGCTTCACATTCCAGACAGTTGTACAAACTACTTTGAGACTACTTTGTATAAATCACATTTAGATTCCAAAAAAGCCCAAGTCACCGATCATCTATCGATCGTATACATAATAATCTACTTGAGACATTCAGATTTATAGTAGGAAAATTATGCAGTCATTATTAACCTTTGTCTGTCGTCATTTTAAATTTGTTTACTACTTAGAGATGACTTACACTCTCTTGCCAGAACCCATACTTTGCTTTCACTCTGTAGAAAATAAAGCTTTATACCAGGTACTCGAGGATAGGATAGCATCCCAACTTGGACTATCCATTAGCAGGAGGTGAAATATAGAAATGTAATCTTGATCTTGATGGATATCAATTTTCTGACTGAGCTTTTTGTGATATGAAGAACTCTTTTAATGTACAATTCTTTGTTGCAGGTGAAGACTTCGCACAACATTTGCCGCGATGCCAAGGTGCCAGCCCTGGGATTCGCAGAGACGGCAGAGAAGGTGTTCGAATACGGTCCCAAAGGCATGCGGCCCTACTCCAATTTTGCCAAGTACGTTGAAAAGTTAAAAATCAAAAGACAAAAACCAAAATGCGCATTGTTTCAGGCAATTTGTGGACGTTGGTTTGATGGCAACCTACTATGCGGCGGCCTGTGTGTATATCGTATTCATTGCCACCTCCTTCCACGACGTGATCAACTACGACTGCAACCTCAACTGGGATGTACGAATCTACATTGCCCTCACAGTGATTCCGTGCTTGTTCATCGGACAGATCAGGAATCTCAAGTGGCTGGTGCCCTTCTCCCTGATGGCCAATGTATTTATTGTGATCACCTTCGTAATAGTCCTCTACTACATGTTTGATGAGCCACTCGTCTACTCTGATAAGCCGCTGATCGCCCCGGCCGCCCACATTCCACTCTTCTTTGCAACGGTCATCTTCGCAATGGAGGGAATTGGTGTAGTGATGCCCGTGGAGAACTCAATGCGCAAGCCTCAGCAGTTCCTCGGCTGTCCCGGTGTCCTCAACACGGCCATGATCACTGTGGTGCTGCTCTACGCGATAATCGGCTTCTTTGGCTATGTGAGATTTGGGGACACGGTTCGTGGCAGCATCACGCTCAATCTGCCAGACGGCTCCTGGTTGGCCGATACGGCCAAGCTTCTGATGGCAGTGGCCATTTTGTTCACATTTGGCCTACAGTTTTACGTGCCCAACGAGATCCTCTGGCGCAAGATCAGTCACAAGTTCAGCCCTGAGAAGCACAACATCACACAGATCCTGCTGCGCACTGGCATCATTCTGGTGAGCGGAGGCGTGGCCGCGGCTATTCCCAACCTGGAACCGTTCATCAGCTTGGTGGGCGCCGTGTTTTTCTCACTGCTGGGCATCTTTGTGCCCAGCTTCGTTGAGACCGTCTACCTTTATCCCGATCGACTGGGCTGGTGCAATTGGAAGATGGTTAAAAACATAATTTTGGGCGTTTTGTCCATCCTAGCTTTGATTGCTGGTGCCGTGGCCAGCATTGGCGAGATCATTGAGATGTACAGCAGCGATGACTAATGGGAACTCTGAAGTTCCCATCCCACCCATCCCACATGGTCGATGGACGATGGTAGTATTAAAAACGATGCAGGTACCCCTACAGATGGATTCGATAACGGAGACATGAGACAGAGAGATGAGAGTTTCAGTTCAAAGCGCAGTAATCTAGCCATGTTGAACATGGCTAGGCGGTGTCGGAGCCAATTCCGATGCTGCTGACTGCATGAACAAGATGATATTAATGATTAAGTCTTTATGTATGTGTGTGTGTGTGTAGTACATACACACTGTGTATGTGTACACATAGGTGTCTCGTTGCACTAACACTGCTAAGCTGCAATTCATAGAATTTATAAATGTTATTATGTTAAGTCGATCAGCATCTATAAAGAAAACGATTGTGAACAGATTAAAAGTGTTTCCTTGCTCCGTTTACTCTCTAGCATAAAGGTCGGATCAACGACGAATATTTAATCAGTTGTTCATCAGGAAGAGAGCTGCCCGACAGCCAATAAAAAATATACTCATTAATCTGATGTTGCAATATATAAATATAATAATTAAGTTATTTAAATCAAAGTACAAATACGAGGAATAGAATACAGCGGCGCTCAATGATATTGTAGTTGAATTGTTGAATGCAAGTTACTTGAGGGTTGTGGTGGCTGTTGAATGTTGGGGTAACTGAAGAACTATGAGCTACGTACATACATACGAGTATGTGTCTATGCAGAGTGAAATATTAAGTAATCTGTTGTCTTTGCTTTGTAACTGCAACTAATGATGAGAAAAGCGGAATCTCAAGTGAATATCCTGCGATGATTCATTCCTTTCGGTACCTGGTTACTTCTTCTTCTTCTTGGAACTGCTGCTGGTGGCCACCACATCGTTCTTGCGCTTCTGATTGGCCTTGGGCTGGGGCGTTGGGGCTGGAGTGCTGTTGTGGCTTCCACTGCCACTCGAAACGCTGCCCTTCGGCGTCTTTTTCTTCTTCTCGGCGCGTTCTTTTTCCTCCAATTCGATATTCTCGCGTTCGATGAGCGTAATCAAGGTGTTGCAACGACGCTGAAGTTCCAGAGCTGTGCGCGACTTGATAAACCAATCGAAGCGAAACTGCGGTGATGCTCTATCGAATAGCATCATAATAAAAATATTAACCGAGTTTTACATATTGAAGATTTCTCCACTTACCTTATAGCCGCCCTCAGCTCCTCGTAGACATTCTCCTTGTCGAAGCCCAGCTTGTGCAGCATGCAGACCAGGAAACGATCCTCGATCTCTGTATAGTTTTTGCCCTTGTTGTTTCCGTATTGCAGACGCAGCTGGTGAAAGGGAGCTCGATACCTCGACATCTTTTAAGACATGCAACATTCATTAGATGTGAGAGCTCCTTTACAAAAAAATAACTCATGCGACATACCTTTTGATCCAGGGCCTTCTTGATGGACAGTCGTCGCTGAATCTTTCCCTCGCCTCGCTCAATCTGTCCCATAATTCGTTCAATATCCTGCAGTTCTGTGCAACGCTCCCAGAAGACGGCGTTGTACTCAATAACCTCTTCGGGAGTCTTGCCCTCCACGTCCTTGGCTATGTTGTCGATGTCATCACGTCCATACTTCTCGTTGGCCTTGATGAACTGATTGAAGTCACGCTTGGTCCAGGCGGTGAACCCGTGGGAGAGGAGGTTCTCCTTCTCGATGATTTCGTCTTCGGTGAGGGGCTCGGCCTCGTCAATCTTACGCTGTTCCTCCCTCTGCACTTTGTTTGCTTCCGACCCGAGTTCCGTGTTCTTGGGCACCTTGTAGTTGACAGTCTTTCGAAAATAGTAGATCTCCTGGTCGAGCAGCTCGAACAGACGAGGCGGGAAGAACTGGAAGTCCTGGACAATTGGTTGCTTGGGTGGGCGTGGGGCCTTGGGGGCTTTGGGCTCGGATACGCGTAGGGCTTCTCTGAAATAGGCGTCCACAGCATAGTTTGCCTTACGCTCACGCTTCGGTGGTTCAATCCAGTTACCCAGAGCGTTCTGCTTCTGCTTCTCGCGCCAATCCTCGCCCTCAAACTGATAGACGGACGAAGTGCCGGCCTCGCCATTCGTGTCCATGGTGAAAGTGCGCAACGAGCTCTCTCCCATGCTATCAAGTTGGGCCTTCTGCTCGGCCGTTTTAGCCTCGCCACGCTCCAGTATGACATCAATATCCTCGTCGGTGATGTCCGTTTCCTTCGAATTAAATACTTGGCTGGCTCCAAATCGAATAATGTTAAGCATTTCGTCTTTGTTCATTTGATTGGAGCGGTTGTCAACAAGGCGGCCACCCTGAATGACCATTTTGTCCAGCCTCAGCTTGACCTCGGCTCTCTCCACGATCTTCTCCTCCACAGTGCTCTCTGTGATCAAGCGAAAAACTCTCACTTGCTTCTTCTGGCCGATACGATGTGCACGATCCATGGCCTGCAAGTCCATTTGGGGATTCCAATCGGAGTCATAGATGATGACAACATCGGCGGTGGCAAGATTAATGCCAAGGCCTCCAGCCCTTGTGGACAACATGAAGACGAATTTTGCACTATTCTCCATATTAAACTCCTGGATCTGTCGGTTGCGGTCTTCATGGGGCGTTTGACCATCCAGCCGGCAGTAGTTATAGTTCTTCCAATGGCAATAGTCCTCTAGAATGTCAAGCATGCGGGTCATTTGGGAGAAGATCAAAACACGTGATCCCTGTTCCTGGAGTTTGGGCAGCAGTTTATCTAGAATGGCCATTTTTCCTGAATTGTAAACCAGATGAGTATCCGTGGTATACGGTGGCCCCGGCTCGGCTCCATCAAACAGATAGGGGTGATTAGTGCACTTTCGCAGCTGCATGAGGATGTTTTGTAAACGCATTTTCTCCACTTTGCCAGCTCCGTTGACAATATCAATGTCCTTCAGCAGTACTTTGGTGTACCAATCTCTTTGCATCTTGGAAAGACCAACGAATATCTTCATTTCTTTTTTGGGCTTCAAACGCTTTTCCACCTCGGCCTTTAGGCGACGCAGCAAGAAGGGCTTAAGCACGGCATGCAATCGCGTGATGAGGGCATCATCTCCCAGGCAAGTATTTGTGTTGAACCACTCGTCAAAGTCCTCCGACGAGTTGAAAACATCGGGCAAGAGAAAGTTCAACAGGGCCCAGAGCTCGTGGAGATTGTTCTGCAATGGGGTTCCAGTGATGAGCAATCGATTAGCCGTCTTGAACTCACGGAGTATCTCCGAAAGCTTGGATTTCTCGTTCTTGATGCGATGCGCCTCGTCAATGACCAGATAACGCCAATTGAACTTCTTGAATACGGACTTTTCGCGTATGCACATCTCGTAGGATGTCACGCAAACATCCCACTCGCCCGGCATCAACACATCACGGATGAAAGTGTTTCGAGTGTCCTGGTCGCCAATCAGGCAAACGGCTTGCAGCGATGGGCACCATTTCTTGAACTCGTTCACCCAATTCTGCAACGTGGACTTGGGAACAATCACGATATGGGGACCAGCTTGGTTTCTGCAGGAGAATCAGAATGCTCTGAGTACTTTTGAAGCGTAACACATTTGGATAACTTACTTGAAATGCTTAAGATACCCAAGAAGGGAGATGGTCTGTAGGGTCTTACCCAAACCCATTTCATCGGCCAGAATACCGTTGATGCCATTCTCGTACAGTGAGATCATCCAGTTGAGACCACGAACTTGATAGTCTCGCATTTCGCCACCCTTAATGTATGTGGGGGAAGCATCGAAACGGAATAATTCCTTTGTAGCCGTGTCCTCGGCCAACAACTCTTCATCCTCCTCCTGCTCCGTTTTGCGATGTCGATGGCTACAGAAGCAAAGAGGTGGAATTAGTACGCGTAAAGAATTATAAAATTACTCAGTCACTTACTCAGCCAGTTCCTTCTCCTTATCTTTATCTTTATCCTTGTCCTTTTCTTTATCCTTAATTTTTTTGGGTCTGCCCTTTGGTTTTGTGGGACTCTTGGCGCTGTTCGTCATGAAATGGGTGAAGATCTCGGTTTGTTTCAGCAGAAAATCAAACCGCCGACTCCGGTCGGCTTCAATCTTGTTGTCGAACTCAGCCTCTTTCTCCCCCGAGGAGCTGGTGGCCGCATCGGAAGTGGTTTCATTCTGCGGAAAGGCAAAGGAAAATTTCAGAATATTCTGCGCGTCACCAACACCGAAGGCGTCACTAAACGTAAATTTTGCATTCTACTTACAGAGTTCTCCTCGGTGGCGTCGACGGAGGCAGCATCTGTTTTGGACATATTTTTAATGCCGGCGCGGTGACCTGACCGTCTTTAATGTTCAATTAAAATTGTCCTTGCTTTCGCTGTGGGCAAAAGGTTCTCGTTAGTTTTTACGTAGGGCGTCTCTGCAAACTGCGAATTGTATTGTATTGGACACTACTGGTTACAGAATATGAGTTTTAAATTTCAATTTACTCTTGCTTGGACACAAAATTAACAAAAAATCAGCGATTTTTCGAGGGAAATTTGGCGTCGCTGGGATGCATTCATTGATATATCGATATATACTTAAGTGATATTACAATTGTTGAAAAGTATCATTTCCAATATTTTTGTGCGATAAGTATTCAGACGCGCTTAATTTTCCGTCGACCGAAATCAGGGATGAAAATCGTATGGAAACGATGCAAAGCATCCCTGTTTTTCGCGCATGCGTTTAGCAGGTACGGTACCACTAACGATACACTATAGTTTATACTGTCCTGTCCCTGACTGATCATTCACCTCTTCTACACGTTGAACAATTGTTACAATTGGGAAAATCTAGTCTCCTGATCCACTGATTATTATCCAAATTGACAAATCCAGTGCATGGCCTGCTAAAGCTACTGCTGACATGTTTGGCAATGGGACAGCTAGAGGCTAGATCTGACCTAATTTTTTAGTAGATGTGTCGCACTGATCATGCACACGACAAGTAATTTGATCAGTCGAAACTCTCTTTGAGACGATCGAGTGGGGTGGCACTGGCACACAAATGGATGTTGTCCCGTTGTATTTTTTTGTTAAGTAATTTTATACGAAAAAAAACAGGGAAGGTTTTTACATTAAATAACTTTGAAAATGAACACAACATATTTCATATACATGCATAAAAAATTGTATACAGAAAGACTTAGCCAATTCGCAAAGTTTTTGCCATTTTGCTTAAGGATTTTCGAAATCCTTAAATATCGTTTTTATTTTTTACATTTTTATTATAAAAACTAGATAAAATATATAATTTAAATATTTATAATTTATTTCAAAATATACAATGGGTTTACATACAATTCTCCAATTTTACGTACAGAATGGTTGGCCAAACAGAAATGTAAATTACACAGTGCAATTTGCTTGATTAAAATTAAAGAGTTTTGTTGAATGAAAAAATGAGTTCAGCAAACACACAGTGCCATCGCTCTCATCTCTTTTTGAGCACACACACACATACGGAATGAAATGCAGCTAAGTATCAAAGTTGGTTTTGTTTGGAATACATATAATTACAGCCAGCGAAGTCTCCGGTTGCCACAACACTGATCTGAAGTCGAATCCAGAACTCGGCCCAAAATGAGGAATTCCCATCCATATTCATGAGCATTCCAGAAGTATGATTGCGATTTAATTTCTAACTGAAAACAGTTGTGCAATCTTGGAAGCATGGCATTTGATGAAGTCATAGCCAATCCTGGCCACACTCTTTATCGTGCTGCTGTGATTCGGGACCGCCGCCGTTGCTGTGGCGACGGATAGATCGCTCTGCTGGGCTGCAAACGCTCCCGTTGCTCCCGCTGCGGGGGAAGCTGAATGGAGGACACTCGATTGGCTTTTCGGGAACATTCTGCGAAGGACGTAGTCAAAGCCATTGGAAGCCTTGTTGCTGTTCGACTTGAATCGCTCAATGCCAAAGGCCCGAATGGCACGTGAGAATCCAAACACTTGCGAGCTGATGTAGGCCCGACGAACAGCCAGTGTGCTTCCATCATTCTGCTCGGTGTAGGTAACGATTTCATCGACTTTCTAATGATCAAAACAAGTCATTTGCCGCACAGTTGTAGGAACTACCAAGTTTACTTACCATTATCTTCTTCATGCCCAGGTTGCGGGTGAATGTGGTGAAAGTCTTCGCAACCGGATCCAGCACCGAATCCTCAACAATCTTGACTGGAACGTTGTTGTAGAACCGAGATCCCCATTTAGGCACAGGGTTTGTCTTTGAGAGCAATCGCCGCGAGTATAATTTGCCGTCCCGTACCTCCCGTTGGATGGTGTCTTCGGTGAGGACGTGTGAGCTGGAGGGATTTGGGTATCGGTTCCAGTAAGCAGCTACAACATTCTTCCAGCTGTAATCGAAGACCGCCTCAGTGCGGCAAGTGGACGCCGTGATGACCATGACGGTGTTTATAAACTGATAAGCACACTCGTCTCCGCGTGCCTTTCCGAAAATAAAGGTGAATTCCCCAGCAATTCACGCCGACCCACGTCCCTGAACTAAAATACAGAGAGAAAAAGACAAAATCAATTGCAATGGCATGTTGCGGTTATAAATAGCATAGAAATATGCCACTGTTGCCAGTTGTCTCGTGGACCTACCAGCCTATTGCTTTTGGTGCGTGCGCAGCTCCAGAGTGCAGTGGGAAACGATGCGTTTTTTGTTATGAATAATTCGTCCCCTGCCCCTTGTTTTGGGCGCCCAAGCGACTGTGCCAAGAATTTTGTTGTATAACTGCGTCATACACAGGGTGGCTCGAAAACTATGACTTCCTTTGTTTATGGGCTTTGATTCATTAATCAGAATGGTCTCGGACGTTCACTGTTTCCTCATAATGCCACCCGTAAGTTTCATTTCTTATGCTTTATTTAATTTTTATCCATTTAATTAAAATTAAAATTCACACCGGTCCAAAGGCCACTGCTGATCAGCGTGACCGCGCCGATAATGATAAGAAATCCCATCCAGCCCAAATAAAAATACCATTAAATACCATTTAAACTTCGAGAAATACCAATAATTTAAAAAATTGATATCTATATAAAATTATTATATTGGTACAACATATTTTTAATTTTATCAATTGTTTCCTTTATTTAGTTTACTTCACAAACTTAAAAATGTAATTCAAATACATACAGTAGTTTAAATTAAAGCAGCCTTTTTCTGTTTTACAAAAATTGCTTTTGCTCTCAAACAGCCGGCAATTTTCGGTGTTTTTTGTTTTGTGGCTGCATGCTGCTGAAACATTTTTCAGTATGCGTTGATGCTTATACTGCACCTTTGAAGCCTCTCTAACATTTTGAAGGTTTTCTCTGTCTTCTCTGTACTGTAATTTTGCTTGCTCATTTTTGCTCAGGGTGAAAGCCTAGTACTCAGTATGAAACCGATAAGACATTTTTTCGGGCACAAACTATTTTTAGGGTCTGTACGGCGGGCAGTCCAGGGAAAAAAAGATCGGTGAATACTAAAAAAGCAGTATCCGATGGTATTTGCTGGTATTTGTTGGTATGTTCGTAGCCGCTCGAAAAAGATATCAATGTTTTATCTTTCGCCAGGTACCCTAGCAAACACAAACATAAACATTTCAAAATGAGAACAGAACACCAAGTTAAATATTTAAAAAATGAAGAACAATAGAATCTTATTAAGGCAGCTATATGAAGGGCAAGTATATGGATATTATAATTCATTATTAATATTATTAATAATTAATTAATTGATTATTAATTTTTATGAATATAAAACAAATGTTTTTAAAACATGTTTTCTTTACGGTGGTCGCCGGCGGTTGCACGGATGCGTCGCTATCTGCTGCCTGGGGCATATCGGCATTAAAATACCATGAACGGTCACGCTGTTGCTGATGTCGCACACAGACCCTCAGAAATATATACCTAAATATACCTCCTCATTTTCAAAATATACCATAATATACCCATAACAACAAGTTTTTCCTGTGCAAGAGAAGTGTAAAGTATAATTTAATAAAATGCCGGTTGATTGGTTTGGTTATGCATATGCTGCCACGGTTGCAGCGGGCGGCATCATGGGCTATGCCAAGGCAGGTGTGTGTTTTCATCTGAAGAGTGTGGTTCTGCCACAACGTGGTTGGATTATGCCATGTAATCCAAACCATTTTCTCTTTGTCATTTCACCAGCCTCGATTCCTTCGCTTGGAGCTGGCCTTGCATTTGGAGCTCTTCTTGGCTATGGAGCCCACCTCAATTCCCAGGATCAACCACGTCCCTTGCTCCAGTTGGGCACGTCTCTGTTCTTGGCCGGGCTAATGGGTGCCCGCTGGAATCGATCTGGAAAACTAATGCCTGCCGGCTTTGTCTGTATGATCTCCGTGGTTGCTCTAGTGCGGAACCTGGTATCTTACAACCGCTACTTGCCGCTGCCGACAAGCTCTAAGGGCGCTTAGAGCCAACTAAGCTTGTTATTCTCAGTAGCTGGACTTGCCCGGAGATTTTCCATATAATTTTTCCAATTTGTATGCATTAATTCTTGCGATATTTGATTAAAAAGTTTTTTGGTGCTTGGACCTATGATACTTACACGTTGAGCGCTGTCATTTTCTAAAATAGCGATAGGGTACAAGTACATTACATGTTGGCGGACTAGACGAACACAGCTCGGTCAAATATTTCCGTTTTTAACGATCAATTCTATACAAATTACATAATTGTACGCAGCATAAGATTTTCTTAGAACCTTAACAGCTTTACATATTCGTAAAAATTAAGCGTAAAACGTCCGCACATCCACCCTCTCTATAATTTCTTAATATTGCAATTGCCGATCTTTTTACCCAATTCTTCCAAAGAACCTAATCTCATGAAAGCTTCTTTGGTCAGCCATACGGTTTGCCAAGTTCGACCGTCATTTTCGGTAGAGGTGGAGAAACATCGATGTTCGTGGACATCGATGTTTTTCGATGTTTTCAAAATAAACATCGATGAAACATCGATGTTTTAAAAAATAGAAACAAATTTTTTTTTTGCTGTAAACTAAATTAATTTAATTGAAAAATTTGGTTCATTTCATAACAAAATAAAAAGCTTTATTCGTGAAAACAAAAAAAAACGAGAAGGAACGTGTGAGTCGCTTCTGGGGACGCGACTCTACTTATACCCGTACTTAGTCAGTACATATATACATTTTTGAGCTTATAATTTTTTAGAATTTTAACTATTAAAAAAAAAATGTTATATTTTTTTGCAACATCTGTTATCTACATCTACAATGTATATTTTACATCTAACATGGAGATTATATATATACCATTTATATTCTACATCTCCTCCGCTAGGGGTTGCTCGCGCACTGAACGAGGCAGAGTGTGAGAGCGAGCAAGATAATGATTAGCGGATCTCTGGCTGAAGTAGGTGGGGAAGCAACTGAAAATGAATTTCTTTCTGGCTATAATTATGATCCGATCTGAATCAGAAATCTGGTAGATATGGTCATTCTCTACGATACTCAGTGAGGAGGAGTTGAATGTGCGACTAAAGTTGTTGGCGGATCTGGTCGCTTCGTTCAACGAGCACCATAATGCCCTGGAGTCCCTTGAGGGAGGAGTTTGACGAATGCGTGGTCATGCTGGAGATTAGCATGAAGCGGGAGTTGAACAAGTGGCAGCCCACAATGCTCCCATGCTCAACAATGCGGACGGACCATGTTGGAGAGGCCCCAGCTACAGTCATAGTGCAGAGTCGGCCTCGCCTGCCGGAATTAAAGCTTCCCGAATGCCGCGTTTTGGGGCATGTTTGCCTCCATAATTGACAAGCATTCTGACCTAACGAATGTGGAGAAGCTGCAGCACCTACGATCCTGCCTGAAAGGACCTGCTCTAGACACAATCTCTTCGCTAGAATTCAGCCACGCCACGATTCAATAACAAGCGTTTAATTTTCAGGCACATGTCACCGACATTTTGGGTGTGCAGCGTATTGAGACCTCGTCTGTTTCCCAACTCCGGTCATTGTCAGATATTGTAAATGCCAATCTGCGCGCCTGGCGGAGTGTGGGGACAAAGGACCAGATTGCTGACTGCATTCTGATACATAGCTGCTACAGAAAGTGGACAGCGCCACACAAGCCAAGTGGGAGGAATGCTCGTCAATGGATAGCATACCCACAAGCCAGCAATTTACCGCTTTTCTGGAGCAAAGATGCCAGAGGTTGGAGACTCAGGAGCACGCTAAGGACATGTACACCAATAGCAATCGGAAACACTGCCTGGTTGCAACGACCTTAAAGCCGATTGCCTGCGCGCTCTGCGGCGATACCGGGCATTCGATATATCGATGTTCTCAGTTCAGCAACCTTTCTCCTCGACTTCGGCTCCAGGAAGCTAAGAAGCTATCGCTATGCACCAACTGCCTCCGATCAGGCCATCAGAAAGGTGAATGTCGTTCACGATCCTGCCGAGTATGTGGTGCTAAGCATCACACACTACTTCATTTCGAGTCTCCGTCCTACACTTCTCAAGCCATTCTGCCTCAACTCTTCAAATCAACATCGACTCCACGAATTCCCGCGATACCCTCTGTCGGCGAACATGCCTTAACATCGTCAGCCTCGTCGCTTTTGGCCCAGAGTCATCGACGGGACGCCGTGATTTTGCCCACTGCCATAATCAGCGTGAGGAGTCGCTCTGGGATGTTGATTCCTTGCCGTGCCCTACTCGATTCTGGATCGCAGGTGCATTTCGTCACTGCTCGTCTGGCTCAACAGTTGCAGCTACAGAAGAAAGACTCGGAAGTTTCCGTTTCTGGTCTAGGCGAGACGTGTGCCATATCCAACTGGAATCACACGCGTCCAACTATGCTGCGATCATTACGGCACTTATTGCTCCAACCATTACGGGTAACCAACCCAACGGTATCCTCGACATTAATCGCTGGAACATGCCCTCCAACATACCTCTGGCGGATCAGAAGTTTTACCAGCCCCAGCCAGTTGATATTCTGATTGGAGCGGCTCTGTTCTTCGAGCTTCTATGGGCTGGCAATATAAAGTTGGGAACTGGAGTGCCACGTCTTCAGGAGACCAGACTGGGATGGATAGTTGCAGGAGAGCTTTCTCCGTCTCTCAAGGCAGCTCCACTTTCTGCTTCTCTATTTTCAGTTAGCTCATCTGAAGTGGCCCCTCACTCGACCCAGCATAGGGTCAGACATAAAGTCCGGAGTAGCGGTGCTGAAGACAATATAACAACAGTGCTGCCAAAGAAGGATGTTAAAGACTCGTGCTCTTCAACGGGGGGAGAATGTTCGGCTAAGCGCCGGCCCATGGCATCACAAAGAGAGCAGAGCTAATCTCTTACGCACAACATTGCCTACCTGATGCTGCGCTCTTGAGTCATTTGCCCCTGCCCGAAACTCGTCAGCCGACGAGGGCTTTGAGGGAGGCTCGTCTGCGCAGCAGATGCACTTCAAGATCAATCACCACCGTAATTAAACGTTTTGCTGTCTGGCACAGTGACCTGCCTGCCAAAAGTTCTATACGTTCATAGCATAAATATATCGCTTTCAAAGGTCTTGAACCGGCCCCGCGTCTTCAATCGACCCATACTAAACTCTCGCTAGCAAATTCACACCTTTCTCTATTTTTCCATACAAACCATATATATATATGCTTAAGTCCAGTAAACTTTCAAATAGTACCTGAACAATCATCGTCTTTTAATAGCTCGCAAAACAACTCTACTGAAAAAGCTCAGTAGCTCAACAGTATTTTTTAAATTGTGCCTGCCACAGATTTTCGTCCTTTGTGTGGGCGGAAGGGGGCGGGGCGAAATTTTGAAATACACTTGTAGCAGTGTGATATCACATGGGTCTTGAAACCAAATTTGGTTACCCTAACTCTTATAGTCTCTGAGATCCAGGCGCTCAACAAGACGGACGGACGGACAGACAGACATGGCTATATCGACTCGGCTATTGAAGCTGATCAAGAATATATATACATTATGGGGTCGGAAACGTTTCCTTCTCTGCGTTACACACATCCACTTTTACCACAAATCTAATATACCCCTTAACTCTTTTTTGAGTACGGGTATAAAAAAACCAATTCAATGAGATCAAAATACAAATCTTATTCTATATCGATGCGACATCGATGTTTCTCCACCTCTAATTTCACTACTCGACAAAATCGAACTTTTTTTTTCCTCAAGGATCCAAACCGACTTTTTCTGATAGATATGGGGCTTTAAATTTTTTTAAAGAATTATGGTTTTTTTTCTATGGCAGAACTTTTTTTTGAAGAATTTTTGAAGTCTGGTATTTTTTTTTAAAGCTTTTTTCAGAGGTAGCGCTTGTTTTTTTCACATAACTCTAGTATCTTACGTCTGGTTATAAAGAGCTTTGCTATTTTGAAAAGATAATAAAAACAAACAAATAAAAACAAAAAAGGGTTGTACATTTGGTACCTGATCGCGATCCCAATTCCCAATGGGAATTGGGCTCGCAACCTTCCAAAAGTTATTTTTTGTTCATTTTTTCCATATTTTAGGTTTAGTTAACGAATTTTAGCTCCAAAGTCTCTCCATTCATTTTAATGAAGGACGCCAAATTAACGCACCTATACAAAAAAAAATAGAGGACACAGGCGACTTTTCCTGAGTTTTTAAAGTCAAAATTTCGTAAAAAATACCGCACAAAAATCATCATTTTTGCATTTCAATGCTTTATATTTCCCAGACGGTAAGCTGTAATCACAAAGTGTTTGGGCTTAACTTCTAGCTGTTTAAATTATCTTTTCAAAATAGCAAAGTTCTTTACAACCAGACGTAAGATACTAGAGCTATGTGAAAAAAACAAGCGCTACCTCTGAAAAAAGCTTAAAAAAAAAATACCAGTTTTCAAAATTTCTTCAAAAAAAAGTTCTGCCATAGAAAAAAAAAAAATATCATCAAACCATTTCTAAGCCCCAAATCTTTAAGAAAAAGTTCGTTTTGTTCCTTGAGGAAAAATCGTGTTGACTAGTGTTTTCGGCCCGTGTAAAGGCTTGTCTCCAGCACCGCGGAAAATTGCGGCAAGGAATTTATTAGTTATTCCGTGAGGGTGTGGAACATAGCTAAAACAGGGTTGATGTGTAAAATGATCTGTAAATCTCTGCTAAAATTAAAAAAGGAAAAAATGCACTCTGATGATGAAGTGATTGTGTTGGTGGCGGCATATATTGTTGCAAAACAAAAAAGAATAATTTTCATCTCTCTTTTTGGTTTTGCGGACAGTTTTTGCCTACATCTCGCACCATTCACTTCAGGAAGAATTGTAAAGTATATATTCCTGAGCTGGGTATCAGCTGTTCTCTCAGTCCACACACGGTCCTGATAGGCAACTATCGATATAAATCTGTGGATTCCGCTCGTGTTGCTGGATCCACACTCCAGGAATACGTAAACGAAACATTTCTGTCAGATTTTTTTTTATATGCAGTTTGACAGGAATTTTTCGATTCCGCAGTGCTGGATACTATGCTTTAAATGGAAGCTCAATGGTTCATGATCTTCGACTAGTTCATCTGCTGTGTACCCAGGTACTATCCATTGATTCAAGAAGAATCTCTCCGATCTGGAGAGAATCGTTTATCATTAGCAAGTCTGACGCAAAGAATTAAAGAGGTATATCTAAGTTATCCGCTATTCCCAAGATGTTTGAGAAAATTATAACTCTGCACTTGCAACATCTCAAATCACAAACAGCACGGATTTATAAGGCAACGATTAACAACCACAGATTTAATAGAGTTCACCTCCTTTATCATTAAAGGCTTCCAAGTCTATCACGCCCCTTGTTCGGTTGAAGAGGAGGAGGCTGCGTTTATTGTTAATTCAGTACGCATTTAAACAATTGAGTGGGGAATTCGTGGTAATTTCATATACCCACTTTAATAAAAGACTTGCAAGTGTTTTCATGTACAGGTAGGTATATTTATTGTATGTGTATGTCGGTATATTTATGTATAGATTTTTGTTTTTTGTTTAAATTTGTTGGAAACGTAAGATCTAATTTAAATAAGTATTATATTTCATTCAATTCAAAGAACAACAATACAATTCAAGAACTACAATTGGAGCCACTGACTAAGTGGTCCATATACTACGGAGTTAAAATGTTTGTTTGTTGCCAATGTCAAATATGATCGATGCAATTTCCAACGCCAAATGCTAAAAATATATTCTCATACTGCAGCTAGGTGGCCAATTACGTATGCGAATTGGGAGATTCAAATGAGTTTTGTTTATCATTTAATTTTCACTTATTCCTACTACCCTGTCGTCTCAGCAACCACAGTTATATCAGTATTTAATATAGGGCAGGGCAGGCAGCGTAAAAATCGAAAATACTTTAAGGCAAAGCTTTAGACTACTGCTAAGGAGGAAGTTAAGAACCGGATTGAATGCTGGAGAGGTTTGGCTTACCGCACGTAAGAAAAACGAATCGGATTCGGTATCAGTATCGTATCGGATCGGTCGGTTTGGCATATACATGTGTGTGTTGCGTGTTGCTTTGTTTTGTGTGTGTTGTATTGTGGACGTTGGACGAAGGAGCCATTGACAATGTTGGAAGGTTCTTGTTTTGGTTTTGGCAAGCAGCTGATCAACTGTGTTTTTGGCTAGCAGTATTTAGTAGTTTAGAGTAAATGGTAGCCGAGTTTATTGTTGTCTCTTTCTCTGTATCTCTGTCACATTCTCGCGATCATTTTATGGTTACATGACTCGTGTGCGGCGTATTAGTTTTTGTGTTTTAATTTTGGGTTTCTTGGGCACTGCTGTACTTTCCGTTGTATTTGCCGCACTGTCCAACACCGTTGGCAGATTATTTGTGGTGTCGCCAATGTAGTTTGGCCTTTGTTGTTGATTTTGTGGATGATGTTGACTACTACTAATGCTCGTATTGCTACTACTAGTTTTGTATGCTTTAATACTACTCCGAGTTGGCGTACGTTTTAAGAAGGCGCTGCCATCAAAGTTTTCTTCTTTCTGCTGCTGTTGCTGTGGCACATGTGGCTGTTCCGGATGTTGGTTATTTGTTGAGCTGACGCTGACGGATGACGAGACGGATGTGATTGTGCTGGTGGCTGTTACTGCGCCATCCAGTGTTGGTAAATGCAATGCTTGTAATTTTTTAAAATACGCATCGAGAAATGATGATGTTGTTATCGCTTTCGCAGTTGTTGTTGTTTGTGATGTTGTTGCTGATGTCGTTTTTGCAGCAGTTGCTGTTGCTGTGGTTGCTATGGTGGATTGGATGGGGAACTTACGTTTTTGCCGCTCAATCGCTTCATTGCTCTGAATGCCGGCAGTGGCTTCATTTTCCTCATCCGTTGGCCCTGATTGCTGTTGCTGTTGCTGCTGTCTCTGGTTCTCTTCCTTGGTGTTCTGTTGTTGTTGTAGTTTTGCTCCGTTACTGTTGCTGGTTACACTATAATTTGTAATTTGTTTTTGTACCAAAGGTATTTCAACTACCGACTGCTGTGATTGTTCTGACTTTTGTGTCTGTTGTGGCTGTTGTTCTGGTTTCAATTTTGTTGTATGTTGTTGTGTTTGTAGCATGTGTAGATAGTATTCAATTTGTTTGCGTAATTCATGTGTGTAGACTTGAAAGAGATTTGGTGTTTGTGTGGTTGTTGTTTTTGGTATTCGTGTCGTAGAGGAAGCCGAGGGACCGCTTATGCTGCTGACACTACTGCTGGTGCGCGTCTTCACCAGAACTCCATCGTTCTGAAGCCATTGCCTCTCAGTGTTGTACAACGGCAAAATTCGATGCAAGTACCCGAACAAGTGCTACCTCTGAAAAAAGCTTTAAAAAAAAAATACCAGTTTTCAAAATTTCTTCAAAAAAAAGTTCTGCCATAGAAAAAAAAAAATATCATTAAACCATTTCTAAGCCCCAAATCTTTAAGAAAAAGTTCGTTTTGTTCCTTGAGGAAAAATGGCCGTGTTGACTAGTGTTTTCGGCCCGTGTAAAGGCTTGTCTCCAGCACCGCGGAAAATTGCGGCAAGGAATTTATTAGTTATTCCGTGAGGGTGTGGAACATAGCTAAAACAGGGTTGATGTGTAAAATGATCTGTAAAATTCTGCTAAAATTAAAAAAGGAAAAAATGCACTCTGATGATGAAGTGATTGTGTTGGTGGCGGCATATATTGTTGCAAAACAAAAAAGAATAATTTTCATCTCTCTTTTTGGTTTTGCGGACAGTTTTTGCCTACATCTCGCACCATTCACTTCAGGAAGAATTGTAAAGTATATATTCCTGAGCTGAGTATCAGCTGTTCTCTCAGTCCACACACGGTCCTGATAGGCAACTATCGATATAAATCTGTGGATTCCGCTCGTGTTGCTGGATCCACACTCCAGGAATACGTAAACGAAACATTTCTGTCAGATTTTTTTTTATATGCAGTTTGACAGGAATTTTTCGATTCCGCAGTGCTGGATACTATGCTTTAAATGGAAGCTCAATGGTTCATGATCTTCGACTAGTTCATCTGCTGTGTACCCAGGTACTATCCATTGATTCAAGAAGAATCTCTCCGATCTGGAGAGAATCGTTTATCATTAGCAAGTCTGACGCAAAGAACTAAAGAGGTATATCTAAGTTATCCGCTATTCCCAAGATGTTTGAGAAAATTATAACTCTGCACTTGCAACATCTCAAATCACAATCAGCACGGATTTATAAGGCAACGATTAACAACCACAGATTTAATAGAGTTCACCTCCTTTATCATTAAAGGCTTCCAAGTCTATCACGCCCCTAATTCAGTACGCATTTAAACAATTGAGTGGGGAATTCGTGGTAATTTCATATACCCACTTTAATAAAAGACTTGCAAGTGTTTTCATGTACAGGTAGGTATATTTATTGTATGTATATGTCGGTATATTTATGTATAGATTTTTGTTTGTTTTTTTGTGGGTGTGTGATTGATAATTGTACAGTTTCATTTATTAGCTACAACTAAAACTTATTTTTAATAACTTTTTGTATCAAACATTATACTAAGTTACTATAAAGTAATGATTGTTTTAGAATTTACGTTTCTAACAACTTTTAATACAATAATGAAATGGAATTTTAAGTTTTCTTGTAGGCAAAGTGCGGCAAGGTATCATGGGAGTATTCTCCACCTTTTTAAGCAAATTTTCAAACAAAATACGATAAATATATTTTAGTAAAGAGTACAAATTATGTATGTTTATCACATTGGAAAGTGGGATTATAATTATTTTTTTTCGTCTTGTTTGATGATTTGCTCAGAGAATAATTTAAGTCTGCCAAAGTGTGTGCGAATGAAAAGTTTACAGAATAGTGTGTACTATGTTACAAGAATTCGCATTAAATTAAATTATACCGAATCATTACTACTATATGCATGTACTGAGCAAAATTCCATACGTATTTTCGTATGAATATTCACTTGCTTTGATGCTTAAGTGGCGTATAACTGACAATATTTTAAATTAGTTGTGGCTAGATCTAAAAACAATCAATAGTTTTTCGTACAAATAATAATAATAATAAATTCTAGCTAAAACACATTTTAACTGCAAAAACTTGATCCAATTTCGACGCGATTAACCGCTGACGCTAACAATTCCAAGCGTTACCCGCTTCTGCTGCACTGCTGTAGTTTCGCTAGAACGGAAACAGCTTCCAGTTAACCACTGTTTGGGAGAGGGAAGTGGGAAATAAAAAATGGTAAATGTAATTAAGAAAAATGTATATAATACGGATAAATCACTTTTGTCAGGCGTGCAGAATCAATGAAAAATTTCTGGATTTGTTGTATGTTTATGTTTTAATATGTATGCATGTATATTTGTTGCAGACGCCGCCATTTTGAAGTGTAGGTGTTGTATGTGCGTGTGGATTACTTATATTTCAGTTTTATTTTATATTTCCAATTCCATGCGCTTCCATTTGCAAAATTATTTGCTACACTCTTGCCTTTTGCAGTTTCATTTTTAGTATGCAAAAATGCGTCTGTGTATTGATTATTCTCTGATTCCATGCCATTTCTTGTTGATCAACCATTACTTAATTGTTAGAATTCTATGTGTGTTTGATACTGTTTTCGATATTGATATTTCTTTGAATAAGTATGTTCGAGTATGCAGTGTGGTGGTGGTGGTGATGTGTGTTGAGTGTGGAGGATGTTGGAGGATAGAGAGCGAGAGATATACCGGAATAGCAAAAAAAGGAAAAAGGATCAGCGATGAGATTTTGATCTTTGATAGAGAGATTGATGAAAAAGTTTTTCTTCAAGCATGCTGTATGAGGATCTGAGTATGTGTCTAATGAAAATGTACGACATTCATATCATTTTATTTCTGACTGGTCTATTGACTATTGGTCAAGTCAAAAAGTACGAATTCTCGTTAAATTTGTTGGAAACGTAAGATCTAATTTAAATAAGTATTATATTTCATGCAATTCAAAGAACAACAATACAATTCAAGAACTACAATTGGAGCCACTGACTAAGTGGTCCATATACTACGGAGTTAAAATGTTTGTTTCTTGCCAATGTCAAATATGATCGATGCAATTTCCAACGCCAAATGCTAAAAATATATTTCATATTACAGCTAGATGGCCAATTACGTATGCGAATTGGGAGATTCAAATGAGTTTTGTTTATCATTTAATTTTCACTTATTCCTACTACCCTGTCGTCTCAGCAACCACAGTTATATCAGTATTTAATATAGGGCAGGGCAGGCAGCGTAAAAATCGAAAATACTTTAAGGCAAAGCTTTAGACTACTGCTAAGGAGGAAGTTAAGAACCGGATTGAATGCTGGAGAGGTTTGGCTTACCGCACGTAAGAAAAACGAATCGGATTCGGTATCAGTATCGTATCGGATCGGTCGGTTTGGCATATACATGTGTGTGTTGCGTGTTGCTTTGTTTTGTGTGTGTTGTATTGTGGACGTTGGACGAAGGAGCCATTGACAATGTTGGAAGGTTCTTGTTTTGGTTTTGGCAAGCAGCTGATCAACTGTGTTTTTGGCTAGCAGTATTTAGTAGTTTAGAGTAAATGGTAGCCGAGTTTATTGTTGTCTCTTTCTCTGTATCTCTGTCACATTCTCGCGATCATTTTATGGTTACATGACTCGTGTGCGGCGTATTAGTTTTTGTGTTTTAATTTTGGGTTTCTTGGGCACTGCTGTACTTTCCGTTGTATTTGCCGCACTGTCCAACACCGTTGGCAGATTATTTGTGGTGTCGCCAATGTAGTTTGGCCTTTGTTGTTGATTTTGTGGATGATGTTGACTACTACTAATGCTCGTATTGCTACTACTAGTTTTGTATGCTTTAATACTACTCCGAGTTGGCGTACGTTTTAAGAAGGCGCTGCCATCAAAGTTTTCTTCTTTCTGCTGCTGTTGCTGTGGCACATGTGGCTGTTCCGGATGTTGGTTATTTGTTGAGCTGACGCTGACGGATGACGAGACGGATGTGATTGTGCTGGTGGCTGTTACTGCGCCATCCAGTGTTGGTAAATGCAATGCTTGTAATTTTTTAAAATACGCATCGAGAAATGATGATGTTGTTATCGCTTTCGCAGTTGTTGTTGTTTGTGATGTTGTTGCTGATGTCGTTTTTGCAGCAGTTGCTGTTGCTGTGGTTGCTATGGTGGATTGGATGGGGAACTTACGTTTTTGCCGCTCAATCGCTTCATTGCTCTGAATGCCGGCAGTGGCTTCATTTTCCTCATCCGTTGGCCCTGATTGCTGTTGCTGTTGCTGCTGTCTCTGGTTCTCTTCCTTGGTGTTCTGTTGTTGCTGTAGTTTTGCTCCGTTACTGTTGCTGGTTACACTATAATTTGTAATTTGTTTTTGTACCAAAGGTATTTCAACTACCGATTGCTGTGATTGTTCTGACTTTTGTGTCTGTTGTGGCTGTTGTTCTGGTTTCAATTTTGTTGTATGTTGTTGTGTTTGTAGCATGTGTAGATAGTATTCAATTTGTTTGCGTAATTCATGTGTGTAGACTTGAAAGAGATTTGGTGTTTGTGTGGTTGTTGTTTTTGGTATTCGTGTCGTAGAGGAAGCCGAGGGACCGCTTATGCTGCTGACACTACTGCTGGTGCGCGTCTTCACCAGAACTCCATCGTTCTGAAGCCATTGCCTCTCAGTGTTGTACAACGGCAAAATTCGATGCAAGTACCCGAACGCTTTCGTCTTGGGGGGTCGCACTGTGGTCGTTGTCGTCGTACCAGCAGAGGCTGCTGAAGCGGAAGCGGAATCTGAGCTTTGCTCGACATTATTATCCTGCTGCTCCTCGCTACTAGTGGTACCCTCATCCTGCTCTTGCTCCTCCTCATTATCGTTACCCTTCTCATCTTCTTGCGACTCCGTCTCTTCGCTACTACTTTCAATGTCCTCCGTTGCCTCAGAGGCTGCATCTTTTTTGCTGTCGATTTTACTATGGTTGTATTTGTGTTTGGTGTTGGTGTTTTGATTTAGTGTAGAGGTGTAAAAGTTTGTACATTAAAATTTGTTTTCTGTGTGTATTCGTGTACTTTGTACTCTAAATTTGTGTGTATTTAGTAAGTAGAATTCTTAGCTTACACAACAAAACTACTAACGAACAGTCTTATCAATAAATAAAAAAAAAGTTAGCTATACTCACTTGTAGACTAAACGATAGTTGTTCCCATAGTCGGGGATGATGTTGGAGGGCAGAGGAGTGCACCGTCCATCCAAACAGTGCTATGGAGCGAATAACATTTGTGGATTGTTGTTAGTCTTGTCTAAGGCTGATTGAGGTTATCATTCACACGGATGTGGCACTTACATAGCCGTTACCACAGGCCGAACCCTCCGCAGCGGGTCTGTAGGCCACGCAATATCCCGTCTGGGCGTCAAAGCAGAACAACTGGGCACAGACGCGCTCGTCCTTGAAGCAGGCATACGTGCCCCGATCCCGTCGGCATTGGGCATCCAACGAGAGCAAAGTGCCTGGCAGTGATCGACCCAGAGCGCTGTCCTCGTGTGGGGCGTTGTGCAGGCAGGTGGCCGTGTCTCCACTGATAACGGAAACGGAGCAACGTCAAGTACAATCATGTCATAGCCGTTTATAAGTTCTACTTACTTGAGGAAATGATGAAAGCTCTGGACCGTGCAGGCGGACCATCTGAATCCGCGCTCCGTGTGACGCAAATCGGACATAATATAACCGTCCTCCCAGCGACAGCGCTGGGCGCCCGGTCCGCCTAGATAGCTTGGTGGCGGCGAGCCGTCATGTACCGCTCCCAGTCTGCGTGAAAGAGTGAGAGACATATTTTGATTGAGGAGCGTGGACGGGAGGGAAAAACGTTAATTGATTAATTGCACTCCGAATGATGTCAAACGGAAATGCAAACGTGTTTCAATGACCAGTTTTGAGCAGCGGAAACTATTCGTTTTTGTTTTTTTTTGCTTCTGTTAATGTTTGACAAATGAACTCCCAATACACGTCTTTCATCAGGGACGTAAATATGTACATAGATACATATATTGAAAAATGTGCAGAATAAGTTTCGCTCGCCAGCCGGACAATGAAAGCCGATAAAAGCACGATTGCCTCTTCCCTTATTTTCTGTCACCACTTACAAGTGTCCCACTTCGTGGGCTGCCACAATGATGCCGCTGAAACCGCCGGTGTCTTCAATGATGGCCACGCTGTTCACCTTCTCCAGTCGCTTGTTCACTACGCAGGCACCGCCAACGTAAGCAAAGCCTTTTCCAAAAGAAAACAGACGAAGAGAATTAGGCAATTATTTGCGGGTTTTTTGTACATATGTACATACTTACGTACATACATATGTACTGTGTATTTTTTATTTAATTTTTTAATTCTTTTTTGTCAAGCTGGAAGTTGACAATTTCTTGAGACCCCCGTCGCTGAGCTTTTGCAGTTATTAAATAAAAATATGCTGTCTTGTTGCATTTCGGGATATTGTTTTTAATCTTTTCTTCTCTTTAGATAATATCTGCAAACGCTGAGAGGTCTCGAGTAGTGATTTGATGTGTGAGAGCAATAAGTATACAATATTAGCTGCAACTGTACATAGTTAGTATGATTAATCCATCACTAAAATAGCAAGCAGTTATTATTATTATTTTGATTTATAAGTGTTATTAACAGGAGCCCAAAATTAGTAGATTGAAAAGCATGAACAATTTTTAAATTAATTGTCATTTTTTTAGAGTAAATTTTAGCAATCGAATCAATCAAATTGTATTCGGTGTCTTGCAGCAATTCGTTCTTTTGAAGCGTTGCAGGTAATAGTAGTATTTTGTTTTTGAGGACCTGAAATCTTTTTTGAATTATGGACTTTCATTATTTATTATACGTGATATTCTTCATTTGTATTTAATTATAATTTCAAATGTTTGCCCGCTGAAATTGAATAAAATGGTTATAATATTTGAAAATAGTCATATGTATTAACAGTTTGACATGCAGCTGACACAGAAAATAGAGAAAAGTTCGGTAAAGTAATTCGGAAGATTGACATTTATTTACACAAAAAAAACAGCAGACGACAGAAGTTCGATAGCAGTAGGAAAGATTTTACAGTTTTAGTAGCACTGAATATACAGCATATCCGGATAATAACCGGATACGTTTACAGATTGACCAGAGTTGCCGAAATATCAGGAGCGCTCAGCATAAGTATTACAGCATATGTATTAATTGGTGAAAATAGTTTAAAAATGTACAGTTCGATGCGCTTCCAATGAGCAAACGAAGTAATAGTTTACAAAAAGAAGAGACAGAGTTATTGTTTATGAAAATTGCACAAAGATATCGCTCGCAAGCGCATGAGCACATTTCCTTGTTCGAGTAAAATTGTTCTTGTTTTTCGCACAGAAGTTCGTGCAAAAAAACAGGAACAGAAATGGAAAAAGAAACACATATTACTCGTAAAGTACTCGCTTAGTTCGCTTTGCCGGAAAGACAGAGGTGGAATGGAACAGTATCAGAGGCAGAGTTTGATAGAGAAGGAGGATAAAAATAGAGACAAAGAGACGTGCATGAAATTCATTAAATTGGCTTGATATTGTTGGTGATGGAGCGGCGTTGGGTTTGGCGGTGACCGCCTTTAATGTTACTTATTTTAAGCGCGTTTGCTCAGCTTTTTGTGTTTCGTTTTTTGCATTTGTCTGTACAGATATCTATGTAGATAGATGTTGGCTAACAAGTTGAAGGATAGTTGTTGGGTCTTTACCTGCGGTACCGCGATTACATTCGCCATAAGCGGAGGTGCGACGGCACATATCGAGTCTGCGGGCGAAAATTGTCAAAAATGCGTAAAAATTTTAGATTTGGTTCCAGCTTCAGTTTCGATTTTGGGTTTTCTGAACCGTTTATTTAATTATCTCCTCTTGGTCTTTGATCGATCGTTGTTTTGTCGATTGGTGGGCGTGCCAAATTCGATAATGAGTGTTTGCGCAAGCAAAGCTTGAGCAAAACTGAATGTTTGTAGTTTCAAACGGGAGAGAGGGTAAAGAGAGAAAACTATCTTCGGCGCGCCGAATACGAAGTAAAGATTGGGGAGAGTCTCAAATGGGTTCACAAATATACAAACTATCCAAGTTTTATCGAATCCAACGAACTGCTACTAAGAAACCATTTGTGATCAAAGCTGCACATTAATTTAGGATCTAAATCTTCCATCTAAAATTTATTGTTGGTTATTATACCATGAGGAGCCTTTCCATATGAGGCGTAAAAACTAAATTTAAATACTTAAATTGATGTAAATGTATGTATTCAAAGCGCCAACCAATGCAACCGTGAGGCATATATAAAATATTCGAGCTAAAGAAGTCAACCGGTTTTACGGTTTATACCCGATCCGCTACTCAAATTAGTATAACGCTTTGGAATTAACTCTTTCATATAATATTTTTTGCTTTGTGTGTGTTTGTGTGTGTAGGAATTGATGTGTTTGTCTGCGTGTTGTGTAGTGGTAGTAATTTATTAAGACCCATACGCAAATTTAGGTGACTTTTATTTAGTGTGTCTTGTAATGTAACTGGAGTTGGGGGGGGGGGGAGAGGTGGAAAGTAAAAACTAACTCAAATATGTTAAACACCCGTAATGACGTTTGCTCTAAGTGTGTATCTGTGTGTACCAGTGTTTGTATGTGTGGTTGTGTACAAGGCTAGGTGTAATAGTTTCTAGTATCTCTTTACCCGCTGTGCCCTTGGTGCACCGACCTCCTTTACGCCTGCGACACATATCATACCTAGACACAGGAAGACATTATAGCAGTGTATCTTTAAGGGATATGTCTCTAATATAAATAATGTATATGGAGTGAAAGGGGAAAGCGCGGATAGCTGCTCATAGAAATCAAGTCTGCCGTTGATCCTGCAATGAAACCAAAACACAGGGCGACAACAATGAAGGATCACCCGAACCACTTACTTAGTTATAGCCACGGCGATATCGTAGACAGGCAGACGCCGCTCTCGAAACAGATATTTTCCCATGTCGGTGAGGGCGGCAGCCGAGTCGATGGCATCCCGTCCCACTCGATTACGTTCCAGATAGGGGGTGGCATCGCGACCCTGCAACAGACAGAAGATAAAGGTTGGGGGTATTCTTATCAGACACGGTGATGGTGAAAGGTTCATATTCAGACGCCAGGGTAAACCTTTCAATGTCACTCCCAGTAGCTGGCATTTCAACAGGCTGAACCGCGAAATAATCTTTGCCTCAGGCTGCTTCAGCACCGTCATGGGCTTGACCTGGAAGACCCACATTGGATAGAAGTTTGTCAGACCCCAAAGGAAGCCCCACTTTCGATTGTGCAATTGGCTTGGCATTTGGCTGAGAAAAGCCACACAAATGGAAAGAGCCTCGAGTAACGTATTTATGGCCCATTCGTCGGTGGAAATGATGTTGGTAGCCACAGTCGAAACGGAAATCAAGTGAACGGGAAAAACGTGCTATAAGTGCTGGGGTAGCGATAAGGCCATCATTGAGGATGATGATGTCTGACTATAGCTATTGGCAAAGTCAAAGTCGTGTGGGTTTTCTTTGAAGCGTATTGCCTCTGATTGTTGTTGGGGCCAGGCCACAACCACAGCTACAGCCACAGCAAACCAGTTGCAATTGTGCGTTGCATAATTGGGACGACTGAAGTTGCCCGGTTGCAGTTCGATTGCCCGATGCAGGCATATTTTCATCAGTTACATCCCAGGGCAACTTTCAGTTGGCTTCTCGTAATTATATACATACATATGTACATGTGTATGAATGTATATACTGTATGTGCAATGTACATAAGTACTCATTTCATATATCGTGACTTAAGGGGCGTTGTGAGATTTACTGAAGTGACAGCTACATAAATTATAGTAACACAATTGTCAATCATTTTGAGCCCTAGGCAAATCAATATGTTAATAGAATTAGCCGGCTCCACGGCTAATCGTGTACGTGGCAGAACCAGTTGCAGTGTCTCCGGATGGAAATGGAGGTACGGTGCTCAGCGTGCAGGTGATAAAACCAAAGTTAGGTGACAAACAGACCTCGGCTGACACATTTGATTTGCAGCCATTTTCCAACTGCACAGCAATCTCACAGATTGCTCACATCTGCACGGGTATCTGTGTGTCTAAGCCGGAGGACTGCAGCCTAAGCTGAAGCATTTTGATAAATTACCCACTAGTCGAGCAGACAGCAGACAGCAGATGTCTAGGAAATGAACAGTGTCTGACAAAGTGATCTATAAACAGACAAGCGCAAACAACAACAAAATGTTCAAACATCAAACGGATTTGACTGGATTCGAGCATGCCAAGGCATCAGTATTGCCCAATGATATTCATAATGTGTCCGCTTGATTGGGTGTATCTTTATCTGATATACATATGCACAAATGTACGTAGTTTAAGGGTATTGCCATTAAAAACCCGCACTCTATCGAAGTTGGCTCTTTTCTGCTCTATTCCCGCTCAGGTTTTGGACAAGATGACAGATTGATCAATTGTGAGTACGGGCACGTCGTTCTCCCCAATAATGAAAAAAAAATATAAAAAAATAAAAATGAATATTTGGCAATTCTTCAGACGAAACGATCAAGAATTTTGAATGTTCCGTCTCTGGCCTTGGGCCGAGTGGGAAAGGCAACCAAACGCATGGGGTCTGACTTCAATTCGGCTCGAATTTGCCAAATTACAAATAATTATTAAAGAACTAAATTTTGAATAGTTTATAAGAGCAGTTTGTTGCAAAACATGAAGATGACTCATTGTGGAAGCCAGGCGGCTTCTTTGGATCAAATCAATGGCACTGAAGTTGGAATGCAATAAAAAAAAAATTCAAATTCGTATGGAAATTTCATTCTAACGATTACCTTAGTCCTTCACTCTATCCACCTATTTACAGGATTAATACAATACACCCAAACTTGCAAACTAATCATTTTAAACATTTGTTGTGCCCTGTCCCGGCGAGGGAATCTCAACGCGACTTTTTCCGAGACTGTGTCCGTACTGTGCCCAGACTTTGCTACACAAAGCCATCAACGTCACAGAAGATGGCCTCGGAAAGACACCAAAGACAGAGCTCCCAGACTAACGCCAGACAGACCGATGCTCATACGTAGAGTGTCTTCTATCCAGAGAGGCAGCGGGAAAGTCGATGGACCATGGATAACCTGGCACATCTTTGATTACGATTGCACAATTAAAGTGACAACTGCGGTCCGACTCCACCACAAGCATGAGACGTTAACCAGAAGAAAATCTGAAAAATTTCGTAGAAACAGTTTCAAAACTGATCAGGAAAAGCTAACGCTGTTAACAGGCCGGATTTTACAAACTTCTGAGCCATTTTTAAATGGAGTAACCACAGCAAGGGTAGGCAAAAATGAAAAAAAAAAAAATATTTGTCAAATAATCCGATTTGAAAGCAAAAGGAAAAACACGTAGCAGAGACTCTGTCAGTAGGACCTAAAATGTAACCAACCCATGGCTGGCACCCAACCGGGACCGGTTTGCCTTTCCCCCAAATAAAAAATTACATAGAAAAAACATAAAATTAAAAATAAAATAAAGTCTGTGCGACAGTTTTGCAATAGCCTTTTGTGCGTAATTAAAAGCAAAATGTATATTTTAATTTAATTTTCCAGCCGGTCTGGGTGCCTTTCTCTGGGCTGGGCTATAAATTTTGTATAAAAACTGTCAAAGGAATGGTCTGCAATTTCTATCATTTCGCAAGGCTTGCTAAATTATCTGACTGGGTGGTGGACGGTTTTCCACTAAAAGCACTCACTCCCACTCACACACCCACTAAACCAAGCCTCTTCGATACCCTCCTTCCAGTGACACACGTTTCGACTTTCGGCGCCCACACATCGGATACGTTGGAACTGGATGACAGGCGGCAGATTGGGGCACCACCCACAGAGTCCGACAGGCTTTTGGGTCAACCATTTCCAATACCCTGTAGCTGGGAAAACTGGGCTAGACGCTAGAAGGTAGGGTGTCTGTGTAGGCTTTCATACTCCCGGAACCAAGAAAATGGGATATTCTCGACAAAAATTTTTCTATGGGTAATCTGAATCGATTATACTCGAACATACTCGTATTTATAACTTAAAGAGAAGCTCCCATAGAGTATTCCCGCCTAGTGCTTTGGGAACAGAGTGTGTCTGCCCAAGGGGACTTTTTACTCTATTTTTTATTGGGTTTTCTTTGTGTCCAAGCTTCGCTTCACGTTTCCATTTGCATTATTGCAATTTATACGCTTGTCTGGCACTTGCATTTTTGGCTACCGGCACTCTACACGAGTATAAATTTTGTACCATACGCGAGAGGGGGGATTTTCCCTGAAGCTAACACCTGGGCAGGACTGTCCAGGTCTAGCTTGGGCCTGGGCCTGGTCCTATCCCGGTGTCCGCAGTGGCACCAGCTTCGTTAACTGAGGAATTTGTTATGACAACTGGCAAATATGAGATCTGGCATAGAGTATTTCCATATATACTTGTTTATTTTTATTTGGGGTATGCTGGGTGTGTCACTCGGGCATTATTTGGCATTTCTGTGGCACTTTAGATAAAGTCACCGCGATAAGACAGAATGGAGAATGTTTATTGGCGTGTCGAAAGGGGTTAGGGATAACCAAACTAAATTTTTCAGAAGAGCAAGTCGGAAGGGGAATAGAGGTAAAAATCTTATTGACTTATTTTCTCTGCTCCAGCGGATCCATTAATCAAACGAGTTGAATTCCTTGGGCGGATAGCCAACTGCAGGTGATCATAACAAGTCATAGATATGGATTTATAAAGCCAACACTATATACATATCAGATCAGATCGGCTCAGCTCAGATCCAAGCCGAACTGGCGTGGGGGTAGCTCTCGAGTCGGCTACCGACTTGGACTGAACTTTTATCTGTGACATTTAATTAACATTTTAATTAATTGCGGGCAACTTTCCGTTAGAAGTTAAACAGCCTCGCCCCTTCTTCTGCTGGTCCGGCTTACGGCCGGTACAAGTGTCGAACGCACTGGCGCTGCGCTTGCGCCACAATCATATTTCAATTTCAGCCAAATGGCAACGGCAACGGCAGCGACAACACTGCGTATACGCAATTTATTAGGAGCGGGTCGTTTGGCGCTCGGAAAAGTGGCATAGCTCGACTTTTGTGCACCCAGTGTCGCGATTTGAAGTTGAGAATAGCTTGATGTATTCCATACTTCGAGCAAATAAACCCCTTTCCACGCAGCTCTACGAAAAATACTATTTAATATTCTCCTCGCAAACTGCCTCTTAGTGAGTATTTTCAGCCTAGCCAAGCTTCGCATTTACGAGTATTACGCTGGCCGATCTCGTAGCTGCGTTGCAACTCGATCTGGGCTCATTGTTCTGCCCCTCATTCATGGTTAGAGACTAAACGCTAAAAAGAACGGAGCGCCATTAACCAGGCTTAACTGCAGTTGGTTTGGGCTGTTCTTAACGCCTTCGAGCCTGTCCGAATATCGACGGAGTGCAGTTGAGTTACGCAGCTTACGGCTTATTAATGTGGTAACGTTTTGTTGTCATTTTGCTGCGGCTCTATTCCTATTTTTCGTATTTTTTTGTTGCTTTTTCAGCAAGAATCAATTAATCGAACAACTCTCATAAAACTGGCACTGCGCAGTTGTTGCCTAAGTAATTCTCTTAGTTATTTGTCAATGAGTGATTAATTTATGTGACTTTGGGCTGCGTTCTTTTCGTTTAATGGCTTGAAAATTGAAAAAGACGCTGGGCGCTTTGTATCTGGCATTGAGGTCAAGTTGCTTAACTTTTCAAAAATATTGCTATACTATATACCAAAAATGTGTATGATGCCCAGAGTTCTCACCAAAAATCTCTGGCGGTGAAGTGTCACAGAAATGCCGTAGATTAATTTCGAATCCTTGTCGCTTTCGGCCACTCAATATTGGGCAACGAGCTTCGGCAGCTTATCGGATATGGATATCCCATAATTTGTTGCCCAATTCACATTCTGAGTAATTATACGACCCGAGTTTTTTCGCAGTTCGGTCTGGCCAGCGCTTAAATCTAATCCAACATTAATTAGCGAAGCAAAAAATGCTTAGCGACGAATGCTAACATACGGATACACTTGCTCGTGTGCATGGAGAAGAGGAAGTCAGGTGTGTGTGAAATTGGGCAAAAAGGAGACCAAAATATGTGTACGAGAAAATCTGATCTGAGTCAACTGCGGCTAAGGCCGACTGCAGTTAGCGTGGCCCATTAGATTATGCAACCACGGCCAACACGCAGTACTGCCACTGGTGGCACTGGTGGCTGTTGCATTATTTATGCTGTCTGAAAACTATTTTTTGTGGCTGCAGAGTCAGAGTCAGATCCGTAGCTAGAGCCAGACACAGAGCTAAAGCCAATTGACGTACTTAGGGTAGCCCGTCGACATCGTTGTCTTTTCGATGCCTTGCTCGTTGTTGTCGTGTGGGCAGCCCAGCCGCTTGATGCAACTTGTGGCGTCTGTGTGTTGCAGGTGCCTCTGTGCCTATGCCTGTGCCTGTGCCAATTTTCCACTTTCGTGTGCCGCACTTTCGAGCTGTCCCACTCTCTCCCTCTGTGGCCACGACAAATGGCTTCCTGAACCACCGCCAAACTGATTTGTGTGAGAAAGTCTAACCAAACGGCAGTCTGGGTCTCATATTGAGACAAAACGAAACGAAATGAAATGCTATCAGAGACACGATGCTATAATGTTGTCAAAGTGTTTTATGGTTTTGCGTTATGCAATCAAATTAGTGGACTGTTAATAAGTGAAAGATGTTCGGAGAGATCTATTATTGGACTTCTTGGCTAGCTTTTCAGCTTATGGAATGTACACAGAAACTGTCTGATTAAACCTGGGTACTACATAAGTGGGTAGTACATACGTGTCAGTGTACTATTACTGTACTTGTACTGTTCCATTTAGCTCCAATACGATTCTGAACGAAATGAAGTTCTCTATATGTTCCGTTCTACTGACTTTCGTTGGGACTACCACATTATGTTTAGCTCAAACTTTTGGCTAGCTCGATTCGCGTGGCCATAAAGCATTCTATGGCTAATTTTGTGAAAAACATTTAGCAAGGCTTCGGAGCCGGCACGAGTGTGCCAGCCTCAAACACACAGGAAAGAAAAAACTTGTTGAAATTTGTTGGCCGAGCTTTTTGTGAGCTATGGCCAAACTAATAGCCAAATTGATTGTTCAAATGTTTTTTCAACGAATCGAAGCGCATGCGTTGCATGTTTTTTCCAGCCAGATTCCAGATCGTGACGTGACTTAGCTGGCTAAGCCGGGGTGGAGAATAGCTGCTCCAATTTGAAAGACCGATTTTGGCCAGAGGTTAAAGTTGAGCTACCAAGTGGATTACTCAATTAGCCAAATGAAAGTGAAATGGCTGGGATTGTGCAATGATCTGGCTGGAGGGCTGTGGCTGTGGTAGGTCAATATATTTTTCAGACGTACTTACCCGAGAGATAATGATTCCAGCGATGCTGATGCGTATTCTGGGTCCCTTTAGCAGGCGGTAACGAAGATCGACACCGTTCCAGAATGAGATGAAGTACCGCTTGACCTGCGTTTGTGGATGGGGAAGAGATTCATTTGCATTAGTCAAGTCTGGAACACGGTGTGCCTGAGTACTTGTGTCTATCAGCTTTCGATCTAGACTCTAGACCCTACACACATTCAACAGTCATATGTATCTGTATCTGCTTTCCTCTGGACCGCTTCTCGGCCGCGATTCTCGTGGATAAGAGCGCACCCAGGTCACTTGGAGCTATAAATCTCCACAGAGGGTGATGTGCATAATAATCCAATTGTGTGCGTCAGCTTCACTTCGAAGAGAATAGAAAACTGAAGAGCTAGAACTCGCTAAGTTACTACTGAGAACTGAAAATGGATTTCTTTTATGTAGCTGATTCCAGAATCAACATTATCTTTGCTTTGTATGGTGGAAGGAAGCCTATCTGCAGTATCCCAAAAGTATTCATGAAGATTATTGGCACGTTCTCTTCTATACAATTGTTTTTTATCTCTAGGTATAAGTCGAATAACTAATCTGAGCTGTCAGCCCCTTGGGGTACTTGGGTCTGGATCTGGGTAACCGCCAGACCTTTCTATCTGTATATATTTCATGTCTACACATGTAGCAAGCAAAACACCAACCGACAAACCAAACAACAAAAAGAAACAGCCCAAAAAACAACTTTTACAATCTTCAGACTTCAAAATCCCCTGCGGGTTGGGCTGTGTTGGGTGCGACCATATCGGAATCGTGGCAGCGTGGTAGCTCCACGCACATGCGGAGACAATCCCAGACGCCGGCAAAAGCGGACAACTTCATTCGGGCTCCGACTTTTAATTTCTTTTTCTGTCTCCTAGTTGCTTTTGAGGCGGCTCTCCATCCCTCACGCACCTGCAAATTATCGCCGCCGTGGAGCCGATAGCCATCGTAGTCGACGATAACCAGGACTTCGGGGTAGATGATGTACGGCGCCTGGCGCCGTGAACGGGTGCGGGACTCGGCAGTCTGGGGCTCCGCATCCAGGGCGCCCTCGTCCTCGTCATTGAGATCCTCGAAGTCGGGGCTGGTGGGAGCGCTGCGCCGTTTGCGCCGTTGGAGCCGTTGCATACGCTCGAGCTTCTCGCTGGCCAGCAGATCATCGGGTTCCATGAAGGCTGGAGACAAAATAAAACCGGAAAACGTAAATCGAGTATCGGTATGTCTTTATTATGATATAAGAAGCTGGTAAGTCAGGTAGCCGATCATTTAACTGTATTTAGTATAATTTTTGGGCGCATTTAAAAAAGCCGACAAGGAAAAATATCCAATAATTATAATTTTTGATTTTTGAGAATATTGCATGGTGAGGAATACCATCCATAAAGTACATGAGTTTATAGTGGAGTTTTTTGGCTGGAATTTTGGCGCCACGCCACCAACGGGAGGGTAAATGCATTCAGCGAAGGGCGTATTGTTACATTGAACTCTTAGTTTCTTCTGAGAGTGTCTTTTGTTTTTATGTTATTCAGCCGCAAAGAAACTTCGAGCAGGAAATGCTATCGGCCTCACGTTGATCTCAACTTGTTGCCGCGGCTCGCGATTTATGGGCCACGGCGTAGACGGTGTGTTTCTATGGCTTCATTGGGTCAATGCGCCCATTAAGAATGTACGATCGGTGTGCTGTACAGGGGCTGGGATCGGGTCAATGCTGCCACAGGTACCGGTACCATCCATCACCCAGACTTACCGAAGTCACTCAGTTGCTCTTCTGCTGCGCTCGCCTCACGCTTGTATACAATGTGGTGGGCCTCCTCCTGGTTGGGACTCAGCTCGTGCGGCAAGGGCTTAATCACCAGGTCGTGACCGATGCTGCCCTCCTAAAAAAGGCAGATGGGGAAAAAGGTAATCAGTAAGTGAAGCTTATTAATCAGATGGAATAAGAACAAAAGCAATGAATCTGGGCATTAGTCGAACTAAGGAATATACATAGTCAGATCTGGTAGCATTTCTTTCTTCTGTATACATGTGATATAATCACCAATTTACTGTTCTACCTCTATCAATCAATCCATATATCTAGCAATCTATCCCTCTAAAGGGTGAGATCCGCTAGATGTAATTTAATAGCTGTACCCATTATTGAAGTATTTTTCCATCTACCTTCCTTTACAATTCAGTATATTTCTATCCATCCAAACATCGTTTGAGAACGTTAAGTTTTCATTGAAATTTGTCAAATAAATCGCAATATCGAATCCATTTCGGGGCAGACATGTACGCGGCGCATAAATAATTTATTACATTTATTTCGCTCAACATTCTTGGTCAGCAGTCAGAGGAACGGGTGCATATATATGAACACCAATATGAATATGAGTTGGCTTTGAATGACTTTGGCCAAGTCATAAAAATTAGCTGCAATTTGCATAGTTGCACATTTTATGCAAATAATCTGCGATCGACGATAAGAAATGTTTCCACACTCTTTGAGTTCTCAGTTCGGTTTTATCGCCTCTGTAATTGCAATAATTAGTAGAGGGTAACAGAGCCAAGCAGACAGCGATATACGTAGACTCAGACGGAGAGAGACCTTGGAAAAGGTTAGCTACTTGTTTGGACACCCGAATGCCTCCAATTCAATTTACTTATGAGTTTATTTTAGCTTTAATTGGCTCTTTGTTTATCGATCATCGATTTGCCAGAAGCCCAGCGACCATTGGCACCCACTCGGCACGAGGTGGTCCAATTAAATCTTGGAAATAATCTCTACATGCTATAATTAAAGCATTACCTATGAATTAAAGCTGCTGCGAGAAGTTGCCACCAGCTGAGATCATACCAAATACAAAAGGAAATGGAATTGTAAGTGCCATTCAGACCTGGACCTGGCTACCTGAGAACTGTGCTGAGTCAGCTGTGGATGTGTTGGGATACATATGCATACATACATTGCTAGATGTGTGTCTTTATATCTGTAAGAATTTGCACAGAATATGGAAAGATATTCCCACAAACACCCCTTTATATTCTAGGCAAGTTTTTTACCACAAGAGGCTAATCAGGCAAACAATGATTCGATTTCGCTCTCTATATACATATATTTGGCCATAAAATACAAAACGGCAAAGTTCAATGTCCCGCAAACGCAAACGCGGCTCCAGCTAAATGTCAACACCGGCGACAACAGAAACTTGTGCCGCAAACAAATTGCAGCCAAAGCCAGGCAACAAATTGCCATTGATGACATGAGCCAGTTCAAGCCAGTCCGGGCCGGGCCAAAGCGAGCGGGGCGAAACCTATCCAACCCAATAGCTTCAAACTCTTCCACTTGAATGCAGTAGGAAATTTTTGCAGCCTCGTTGGGCACTTGAATTATGATAAATATTTGAGTTAGCGACACTTAAATGGCTTTTCGCACACAGTGCGTATGATAAATGTGCGAGAAGTAGCTCCGGCCTTCACATTGAAAGTAAACTTGCCAGATGACATAGTCGAACAAAAACAATAGAATATATGATTGATTTCCTTGCTCTGTAAGATGCCAATTGTTGTACATAGCAGAAGAATTCATCAAGAAACCTTTAATAAGCATTCTAGTACCATTAACGTCTGAAAGGTACATACATATGTACATATGTATGTACATTGTCCATAAGTATGTATGTTTATATTCATTAAACAAGTGTGTAGCTGTGAATAACTCTTAGTTTTCGCATTAATTCTGTCTTGGGAAACACTACTCGTAATTTATTTGTAAGTTAGTTATTTTTTTCGTTTCACATTTAGTTTTAGTTGCCACTTGGCAGATCTTTTAATTTATGCGGCTGGCTGCAATTTTTCTCGGCATGTGGCATGTGCCAGTTGGTCGAATGCTGGCTAGCTAGGCTAACAAATTTTTCGTGTTTTCTTTTGGTTTCGTTTTCCGCATTTTCACCGAAAACTGCAAAAACAGAAACAGCAACCAAAAATCAAATATTTGGGCGTGTGCTTTATTTTTCTCCAACTACTCAACGCTTTTTCACTCAGTCTGAGTTTGTCCCGCCGTTAGAGTTCTGGTTGGTAAGCGGTACGTGGAACGTTATGTAATTGCCAAAATGAGGCAGGCTCTAATTTTCAAATGCCTTGTTGCCTTGAACGCAATTTATGCGAAATATCCATTAATAAATTACCCAATTCGATTCATTCGCCTGGCCCAAGCGCTGAGAGTTCGGCTAGGTAATTGGCTCTTAACTCTGACGGAACATACCCGCTAAATCTCTCACTTGGCTAATCGAAAGTGACTGCGATAGGTCTATGTGCTCATGCAGATAGGAAGTGGTTGTGTAATTAAACATGAAATGGAAGGGGATTGCTTATCGGCGACTAGTACTGCCATTCTTCGCGAATTAAGAGTACGTCTCTTTGCAGCTTCCCTCGAAGATCCTTCGTTCCCTAATATCGAGTGCAGAACTTCTCTCCTCCATTACCATTGAGTCTTTTTATACAAAAAGCTCCCTTATGAACCTATTGAATATTATAGACCAGCCTGTCGGCAAGTGCTCTGTCGAATTTCGAATTATGGGAAAAACCAACAGGAGATGGTGGGAGATGAGTGGTAGAAAACAGCAAATTGCTCTAAAATCACGCAGCTTACACACTGAAGATAGTTTTTTTATACCCGTACTCAAAAAAGAGTTAAGGGGTATATTAGATTTGTGGTAAAAGTGGATGTGTGTAACGCAGAGAAGGAAACGTTTCCGACCCCCTAAAGTATATATATTCTTGATCAGCATCAATAGCCGAGTCGATATAGCCATGTCTGTCTGTCTGTCTGTCCGTCTTGTTGAGCGCCTAGATCTCAGAGACTATAAGAGCTAGGGCAACCAAATTTGGTTTCCACACTCATGTGATATCACACTGCTACAAGTGTATTTCAAAATTTCGCCCTGCCCCCTTCCGCACACACAAAGAACGAAAATCTGTGGCAGCCACAATTTTAAAGATACGCTGAAACTAAAAACGCAGTATCGTAGAGAATGACCATACCTAAGCAAACGAACAAGGGTTGTACATTTGGTACCTGATCGCGCTCCTTTGTTCCCAATTGGCAGTTGGGCCCGCCGCCTTCAAAAAGGTATTTTTTGTTCATTTTTTCCATATTTTAGGTTTGGTTAACGAATTTTAGCTCCAAAGTCTCTCCATAGATTTTAATGAGCGATACCTTAAAGGACGCCAAATTAACGCACCTATACACAAAAAAATAGAGGACACAAGATATAATTTTTTTTCGACTTTTCCGAGTTTTCAAAGTCAAAATTTCGTAAGAAATACCGCACAAAAATCATAATTTTTGCATTTCAATGCTTTATATTTCCCAGACGGTAAGCTGTAATCACAAAGTGTTTGGGCTTAACTTCTAGCTGTTTTAATTATCTTTTCAAAATAGCAAAGTTCTTTACAACCAGACGTAAGATACTAAAGTTATGTGAAAAAAACTATCGCTACCTCTGAAAAAAGCTAAAAAAAAATTACCAGATTTAAAAAATTCTGCAAAAAAAAGTTCTGCCATAGAAAAAAAAAAAAATATCATCAAACCATTTCTAAGCCCCAAATCTTTAATAAAAAGTTGGTTTTGTTCCTTGAGGAAAAATCGTGTTGAGTAGTGTTATATGCTCAAAAATGTATATACTGACTAAGTACGGGTATAAGTAGAGTCGCGTCCCCAGAAGCGACTCGCACGTTCCTTCTCGTTTTTGCTGGGTTTCTGGTTTTGGTTTTCGATGCATTGGCATCGGCTGGCCCCAAAATAAAGTTGTCAGAGTTGTCTTGTTTATGTAATCACCCACAACGCGATTGTTGTATCAAGAGGAGGAGGACCGATATGTGTATTACGTTGCCGCGTGATTTTGTGGCTTTTTTCAGCAGTAGACAGCCTTTCACACATCCAGACAAGTGCGCGTATCTGTCAGATACAGATAGATACAGTCACAGTCCGACGCGGAGTCCGGCGTGGAGTCCGGCTGCAGAAACGCCCACAGATTACAATCGAATGATTGAATTTGTTGTCTGTTGTTTTTTTCCTAATTAAATATAAATTATTCTAAAATATTTCAGGACAACAATCGGGGATAAAAAACGAACAGAGATTGTGACACGCCACAAAGAGTTCAGTGAACCAAAAATTACTTAAAATCAAAATTATCACCTTTTGATATTTGTTTTTCGGGCTTTGAGGCACTGAGGCTGCTGCTGTTTCCTTTCAGCCCAGAGCATCGAAGCGCTCAAATGTGCAAATATCCAAAATCGGCCGACACCAGACACCAGCAGCAGCAACCACAGAAATGGCAATAGAAAAAAAAATCACTTTGCGGTTTGTAATTTTGGGAAATTAGCATAATTTGTGCAAATTCATGACACGAACATTGGCCCGACACGCTGCCAGGGGAAGAAGTCGAAGTCAGAGTCGTCATTATAGTCATGACTATTGCTGTTTGTTGAGGTTAATGCGGCAGTTGTTGGTGTTGCCAAGAGCTGGCTGCCACTTGCCACTGCCCCAGCGGGTCATAAAAGCCGAGAGACGTCAGAAAATAAAAATTAATTGAAATAGAAGGCGTCTCGCCTCGTCTGACGAATGTCTGTTGTTAAAAACTGAAAACTGAATTGAGCTGCTTGCTTTTTTCCTTTAATTCATTTTCTAAACAATTTTTGTTTTAATTTGTATTTACGAATTGCCGATTGAAAATTTTTGATTTTCTTGAAGATCTAAGCTTAAGCTTAATCTATATAGTATGTATGTGTGTCTGACACCATTCAAGGAAATTTGAATTTTGTTTTAGTTATTTATACAGACAGTTCCAATTCAAATGCAAATGCAGAGCACATTTTAAAGGAATTATGT